TGTACGGCTTGTCGTGGTTGGGCAGTTCCTTTCCAGTGCCAGATCTTGTTAACACTGGCCCTTCGATGCCGCTTCAATCCCTCATTCGTTTGGACCCGTTGGTACTTGCTTATGGCGTGTCTCTTTCAGGTCCCAGTCTACTTGTATTGGACTCTGTGCAGCCGGGTCCACTTTTGCTCACACGAACCTTTGTATGTTCGGGCTTGAGCCTGCTCGTGTCTGGACTGTGCAAACCAGACCTATCCTCGTCAGTCTTGGACTTTTTGCATCCGGGCTTGTTGCTGCTATCGCGGACATCTGCGTAGTTGGGCTTGATTCCGCCGGCTTCCGGTATGAGCAGGCTCGGTTCTCCACTGCTGGCTCTGGACCCTGTGAGCACAGGGCCGATCTTGCTGTTGAGAAGTTTTCTATGCTCCGGCTTGAGCTTGCCAGCCTATGGTTTGTCAAGGCCTGGATTGTTGTTTCTTGTACTGGATTCCGTGCACACTGGCTTGCTGATGTTTGCACATACACTTTGCAGAACCGACTTCTCCTCCTCTGCCTATGGGGTGACGTGTCCTGGCTTGTCTTTGTCGGTTTCGGATCTCTTGCACCTCGAACTTCCACTGTCCTCGAAGAGTCCCTTCTGATCAGACAGCCTGCTGTTGTCATATGGAATGACTCGCCTGAGCTTGCCACTGCCAGCCCTCGACCACGCGTGCATTGGTCCACCCCCGTCGCTGCAAACTCTTTTGTGTTCAGGCTTACCTTCATTCGCTTACGGCCTGACTCGAATAGGCTTGTCACTTTCTCCGCCTGACTGTGTGCATCTCGATCCCTCTACGCCACCCCACACTTCCATCCGAACTGGCTTTTTGGTGCCTGCATCCGGCATCAACTGGCCCGAACCCCCGTTGTCAGCACTGGATTTTGTTCAGATCGGTTTCGTGCCGCTGCCGCACAGCTTGGCCCGCTTTGAGTCGACCATCTCTGTGTACGGCATGTCCCGAACTGGTCTGCCCCTGCTCGCTTCGGACCTCATGATGCTGGGCAGCCCGTTGCTGCCGCACAGCCATATGCGGCCGGAGCCCATTTCGTTGGCCTATGGCATTGCAAGGCCAGGACTGTTGCTGTCGGTGTCAGACTCCGTCCAGCCTGGCCCTCTTTCTCCGCTGAAGTCTATGTGCCGGCTTGGACTTCCCTTATTCGTCTACGGAATGTCATACCTGGACCCGTTTCTTTTGGCTCTTGACCTTGTGCACTCGGGCTTCGTTCTGCCCTTAAGGAGCACGATCCACATGGACAGCACTCCTCCTGCCTTTGGCATGGCGTGGTCAGGTCTGCCTCCGCTGACTTTGGACTTTGTACTCATTGGTTTGTTACCTTCACTGCAAAGCTTCCACCGTGCGGAGTTTGCACTGCCTATTTATGGCGTCTCCCGCCTTGACTTCACCTTGCTTATCTTGGATCTGGTGCATGTGGACCCAAACCTCTCGATCCAAACTCCCGCGTGATCTGACCTCCTTTCGTCAGCTTATGGGGTGACTCGGCTAGAGCCTCCAATGCTGGTTCTGGATTTTAGCCATTCTGGCTCCCCGCCTCCGCTCAGATCCGCAGCACGCTTTGGCTCGACCCCGTCAGCCTTTGGTCTGACATGTCCCGGATCTTCAACTTCGGTCTCGGACCTTGGCTGGTTTGAATCTTTGGTGCCGCCGCGCACCTCTCTTCGTGCAGGGCCCGCTTCGCCAGCATACGGCATGACCTGAGCCGACCTGTTGCCTTCCGCGCCTGACTCCGTGCACACGGGTTCCTTGTTGTTGACGAGGTATCTTGCCCATCTCGGAAGTATGCTGCTGGCATTCGGAATGTCTCGGCTTGGCTTGCTGCTTCCCGTTCCGGACTTCGTGCACCTCGGTCTGATCCTGCCTCTGCAAGGCTTTTGCCGGCTAGGGCCGACTCCTCCCGCATCTGGCTTGGCGAGGTCGGGCAGCTTGACGTTGGTGCCAGACTATGTCCTCATGGGCTCGCCGCTCTCTCCCAGGAGTCTTGTTTGTTTTGGCCTATCGACCTTGGTTTATGGCGTGGCATGGCTTGGTCTCACACCGCCGGCCTTGGACCACTGCAATACCGGTTTTCTGCCATCATTGCGCAGCTCCTACTGCACGGGCCTTTCGCCTTTGCCCTCTGGCGTCGCAAGGCCTGGCCTCAGCTCATTCGTTTTGGATTTCGTCCTGTCCGATTCCCCTCTGTTCCTGAGAAGTTCCATGCGGCCTGGTCTTGCTCTCCTGGTTTTCGGACTGACTTGCTCGGGGCCTTTCCCTTTGGCCCCGGACTTTCTCCATCTCGAATTTGCATTGCTTTCAAGGACTTTCTGTTGCATGGGCCCTGCCACGTTCGTCTATGGCCTGACTCGCATGGGACTCTCCACCTCAGCCCCAGATCCCGTAAATCTTGGCTCGTTGGCTTCGGCTCGCACGCTTGCTCGACCTGGCCTTACGATGCTGGTTTTCGGAGTTGCGTGCCCAGGCAGTCTGCCGTCCACATCGGACTCTGCCATGACGGGTTCTCTGCTGTCCCCGCAAGGCCTCTTCTGCCCTGGTAGTGCTCTCTTTGCTTATGGCATCAGCCGTCTGGGGCTGCCAACGCTTGTGCCAGACCTTGCTGAAACTGGCTTCGCAATGCCGCTGCATGGTTTCTTCCGTTGCGGCCTGACACTGCCGGCTTTCGGAATCACGTGGTCAGAGTCCTCCTTGCCAGTACCCGACCCTGCACACCCAGAAAGCCTGTTGTCGCTGCACACGCACATCCACATTGGCTCCAGCCTCTCGGTGTTCGGCCTGGCTCGTTCGGGGTTGCTACTGCTGGTGCTGGACCCTGTCCAAGTCGATCCGCTTCTGCTAACCCGTAGCTTTGCTCACCTTGAGCCTTCGCTGCCCCTCTCCGGCCTGTCTCAGCTAGGATTCCCGATGCCAACCCCGGACTCTGTCAGCCTCGAGAGTACTCCGTTCCTTCAAAGTTCTGTGCGACTTGGTCCTGCGCTGTCTGCCTATGGCATGATGCGGCCTGGCAGTATGCCACCTACCCCGGACTTTGTGCATCCCGGCCCGACCTTGTTCTTGAGGACCTTTGCACGTGCAGGCCCTCTTCCGTCGGCATATGGCGTCTCTTGCCCTGGGCCGCTGCTGCCTGTTTTGGACCTTGTGGGTATTGGCTCTTCCATGCTCCCGCGAAGCAACATCTGACTAGAACTGCTCTTGTCAATCTTTCAAAGCCTCCGGTATGGTTCTACGATGCCAACCCCTGACAGCATAGAGGTTGGGTCGGTGATTCCAGCGCGAGACTCTGTTCGCTTAGCACTCTTGATTTCCATCTGCGGCATCACGCGCGTCGCACTTTCCTTGCTAGCACTCGACTTTTTGCTTTTGGATTCTGTGCTCTCAGCTAGATCCTCTTGCAGAGCAGATCTTCCACTCTTCGTCCTTGCTTTCATGCACATCGGCTTTACCATGCCCTTGAGAAACCACGGTCAGCCTGGCCCCATGCTGCCGATTATGGGATCGAGCTGCGTGGACTTGATGCTGCCAACCTCGGACAACGTGAACCTTGGGTTTCCCTCACTTCTTCACAGCACCTCGAGTCCAGGACCCAGCTTATCTGCGTCCGGCATGGGCAGGTCTGGCTTCCAGTTGCCCACCCTGGACTGCGAGAGTCCTGATCCGATCTTGCCTCTGCAGAGCATGGCACGATTGGGGCCGTCTTTTTCCGCCTTCGGCTTGAGCTGCTCTGATCTGCCCGTGCCTACAGTGGACTTTTTGCGGTCAGGCTTCCCCTCTTTGCTGCGAGGCCCAGGTCGCATGGGCCCGCCCGTCTCCCTTTTCAGCCGCGTGGCTCCAGGCCTTGCAATGTTGATATCAGACTTCTCGCAGCCCGAGTCGCCTCCTTTTTCGAGAAGCCCGGGACGTTCGGGGCTCGCTGTGTCGATTTTTGGGCTGGGCTGCATCGACTCTTCGGTTCTGGTGCTCGATTCTGTTGGCATTGACTCACTCGTATTGCTTCGTAGCCTGGCGCGACCCAGCCTGGCATCTTCTTCGCTGGGAGTGGCTTGCCTCAGCTCCTCTATGCTCGCCCTTGACTTCGTCTACTTGGACTTCCCCATGCCCACTCAAAGCTTCTGCCACTCGGAGCCGCCGCTCTCCGTGCCCGACTTCTTGGCCTCAGGCTTTCTGATGCCGCTGCGATCTGCTGGGCGAACGGAATCAGCGTTCTCCGTCTTCAGCATGGGCCGAATGGGTCTGCCAGTGCCAGCGCCTGACCCCCTCCGACCGGGATCTTCCCTTTCCTTGCGATCCCTTGTCTGGATGGGTTCCCCCGTTCCTACCTTCTCGTCTGCACGCTCTGAACTTCTCCCGCCTGCCCCAGACCTTCTCAACCTTGGCTTCAGCCTGTCGGCTAGGAGGGTGACGCGCTCAGGGCCGGCCCCCTTGGCGCCAGATTTTTTACGAACGGACCCGTTGATGCCACTGCAATCTAGCGCCAGGTTTGGACCTCCATTGTCCTCGTTCTCGCAGGTGCGCTTGGGCTCCAGCCTCTCTGTCTCAGACTTCGCACTCTTGGGTCTCTCTGTGTTGCTCCGAAGCCTGGCCAAGCTAGGACTCAGCTTTTCAAGTTTCTCCTGCACCAGACTGGGGCCGTTCTTGTTGGTCCCAGATCCCGTAGAAACAGGACCTTTGCTCTTGGCACGGTCTTTTGCCAGGTCGGACCCGGCACTGCTCGTATGTGGCATTGGGTGCTCGGGCTCCCCACTGCTGGTCTCAGATCTCACGCATCTGGACTCGCCCCTGCCAGTGCGAAGCACGACTTATTCGGGACCTGTAGTGTTTACCTCAGACCACTTGCACCCCGATCTGTCGATGTTTTTGCACAGCCTTGTATGGCTGGCTCCCACTCTGCTACTTTTTGGAAAAGCCCGCTCCGACAGTCTGGCTTCGACGCTGGACTTCCTGTGCTCGGGCTCAACTCCGCTTCTGCACTCTCCGGGATGCTGCGGATCTCCCTCGTCAGCTTTCGGCACATATCGTATGGATTTCCCAGTGCTAGCTTCGGATCGTGTGTCCCCCGAACTAACTTTGCTTCTGAGATCTGCTGCGCACTTGGGTCTTGCCTCGCTGGTCTTTTCATGTGTGCGCTCTGGCTCCTCACTGCTAGCACTTGACACGGGCATGCTCGGTTCGTTCCTGCTGCCGCAGTCGATGGGACGTCTCGGGCCATTCTTTCCAGCCTTCAGCTGCACTTGCACGGGCTTCTCGCTACCTGCGCTCGACCCTGCATACCTCGGATCGGTGGCTTCCGTGCACAGCCTTGTGCGTGTAGAGTTAGCGGCGTTCGTGCTCGATCTCTTGCATCTGGACCTCGCCTTGTTTCCACGAAGCCACAGCTGCTCAGGGTCATCCACCTCGCCTTTCAGCAGGACCAGGACGGAGCTGCTCTTGTCAACATTGGATTCTACTGAATTTGGCTCCACTTCACTGCTGCAGTCAACAGGCGGAACGGGCTCCGCACTCCTCCCCTTCGGGATCGGTCGCTTTGAGCCATTGTTGCCGACATCCGATGTGACAGAGACGGGCCTCGCACTACCTTCACAGAGCATGGCCTGCATCGGTCCTGCATCGTTCGCTTTCTCAGCCACTCGCTCTGGACCTTCAGCTTCAGCACCCGACTGCAGCTGGTCGGACTCAACCTCGTTGCTTCGTAGCTTTGCACACCTGGGCTTCTCTATTCTTCTTTTCGGAGTCGTGTGCTCAGATGACAAAGCCTTGATGTGTGACATGGTGCGGCCCGGAAGTAACCCGTTGCTGAGGAGCTTCGCACACTTTGGTTTGTGCTCGTCCGTCTCGGGCGTGGTCTGTATAGCAAGCCCACCACCAGTCTTGGATTACGCCTGCCTCGACCCACTGCTATCGCCCAGAAGTACGGCTTAACCGGAGCCGGCTCTACTGCTGCCTGATTATTTAAGTCCTGACTCGTTCGCACTGCCCCGAAGCCCTGCATGTCCCAGCAGCATCCTGCCAGTGTTTTCGGGTGTTCGCTTTGGCCTGACTTCGTTTGCTCTGGACTGCGCTCAGTTGGGGCTCTTGCTGCCGCTTCGCAGTCCTGCTCGGCTGGATTCGGTGCTTCTGGCTGTGGACTTCATTCATACGGGATTCCCAGTTTTGATCCGGAGCCATGCCAGGATGGAGCTAAGCTCTTCGGCATTTGGTTGCGGGCGAACAGGCTCTCCATTGTTAGCCCTTGACTCCTCGCATATGGGCTTTCTCTTGTCACTTCACGGCTTCGGACGAGTAGAGCCCGCTGCTTCGACCTCCAGCATGTGTCGGCCTGACCTGCTGTTGCTCGTGCCGGATTGCGCTGGGTCAGGCTCCTTTTTGAGTTTGCGGTCGTCCACTCGCATGGACTTTGCAGTGTCAGTGCTGGATTCTCTCCGTCTTGGAAGCTCACTGTTTTTCAGATCCTTCGCGTGTGCAGGTCTTGCCTTCCCGGTGTTGGGCATTTCTAAACCCGGCTCTATGTTACCTGTGCTGGATGCAGCATGGCTGGGCTTGCCACCACCGCCTCGAAGCTCCGCGCGCCTGGGCTTGGTAGCGCTGGCACCAGACATGACCCACACGGGCCCTTTGCCTTTCTTGCGTAGCCCCGCATGGCCGAGCTTGCTGGTGCCTGCCTCTGACTTTCTACAGCTTGGATTTTCTGTGCCCTTTAGAGGCGTTGCCTGCGGAGGCCTGGTGCTGTCATTGTTCGGCAAAGCATGCCTCGAGCCGTTCTCACCGGCACCCGACTCCTTACGTCCTGACCCCTCGTTGCCAATCCGGAGCATGGTGATGACGGGATTGCCGCTGTCGGTCTTTGGTGTTGGACAGTCTGGCCCATCCCTTCTTGCCTCGGACTCTCTACACCCTGGTCTCGCAGCCTCCATGCGCAGTTGTGCTTATTCCGGCAGCCCGTTGCTATCATTCGGAATTGGCCGACTGGAGTCAATGGCGCCTGTCTCTGATCGCGCTGAGCCCGGCTTCACCTCGCTGCTGCAGAGCTGTGGCCGTTCAGGCTCGCAGCTGCTGGTGTTTAGCAACCTACGGTCAGGATTGCTGTCGTCAGCATCAGACTCTGCGACTCCGGGCTCTCCCTTGCTGTTGCGGGCGACGGCCCAGCCGGGTGCTTCTTCGCTGGCCTCGGACCTCGCATATCCAGGATTTTCCACACCCCCTCGCTCCCGTGTACACCTAGGCTTCACTTTCCCTGCCTCCAGTGCGAGCTGTCCAGGGCTCTTGTTGCTTGTGCCGGACTCCACCTACTTCGACAGCCCAGCCTCCATCCGATCATTCGTCCGTCCAGGCCCGGCCTTGCTTGCCTCTAATTTTGCAGCATCGGGATCATCTCCGCTTTTGAGGGGTGCCGGATGACCGGGCCCCTCGCTTTCTGCATGGAGTGCCGCCTGGCCTGAGCCTGCAGCATCTGTGTCCGACTGCGAGCAGCCGGGTCTTACCCTGTTCCTGAGATCCACGTCTCGTTCCGACAGTGCTGCGTCGCTTTTCGGCATCCAGTGCCCTGGCTCGCCGCTTCTAATCTTCGATCACAGTCACTTGGGATCGACGCTGTCCCCGAAGAGCCTGGCGACGCCTGGCTTCTTCGTATCCGCCTTCAGCTGCACTTGCACGGAGCCGCCTTTCTCAGCTCCGGACCCTTTACAGCTGGGACTCTTGTTGCTGCCACGTAGTTTTGCATGTATGGAGTTGCTTGTGTTTCTCTTCGGTGTCGGCTGCTTCGGATTATCGTTGCCTGCATTCGACTCTTTGCAATCAGGCCTCATTTTGTCCGTTAGATCTACGGCCTGCTCCGGTCTCACATTCCCCACATTCAGCACGGCACGGTCTGACCTGTCGACCTCAGTGTCAGATTCTTTGCAGCCGGGTTTGCTCCTGTCTCTCAGAGGCACGGCGGCGATGGGCTCCTTGTTGCCGCTGTTTAGGGCGGGACGCTTCGAGAGCACACTGTCGGCATTGGATCTTGCGGAGTTGGGCTTAGGACTGCTGTTGCGAAGCACTGCGCAGCTTGATGCACCGTTCTCGATCTTCAGCAAAGTACAGCTGGGCTTCTTGTCATTGGTCTCGGACCATGCAGAGTCCGGACTGTTGCTACCATTCCAGGGGATATCACAAATGGGCCTGGTTTTGCTTCTCTTCTCCAGCGTTCGTTTGGGGGCCAGTCCCCCTGCTTCTGACTTTGGCCATCCCGGGCTGCCTCCATCCTCACACGGTCTTGGCCGTCTGGGCTCCACAGCGTCGGTCTTCCAAACCTGTCGCCTTGGCCCTGCCTTGCTGGTACTGGACCCCACGCTGTTAGGCTCGATGGCGTTGCTGAGGAGCCTTGCAAGATTAGACTTCTCAGCACCCGCTCTGGACCCTTTGGCACCGGGCTCCTCCATGTCCCTGCACAGCCTCGCACAGCCGGAGGCCACAGCATTACTCTTCGGGAAAGGTTGGCCAGGCTTGCCGATGCCTGCGTGCGACTTTGCTTTCTCGGGCCTATCCCCTCCCGTCCGAAGCCGTGCACAACTGGGGCTGGGCATGTTCATTTTTAGCATGGTGCGCACGGAGTTACTCTCGTCCCTGCTTGATCCCGGTCTTTTTGGCTTTGCTGTGCCACCTAGAGGCCTTGGGCGGCTCGGGTCTACTTTGCTTGCATCCAGCTGGGTCCGGCTTGAGCTCCCGGCATTTCTTTCAGACTACACGCTGGTGGGTCTGGTCTCGTTGTTACAAAGTCCTTCTCGCACGGATTTACCCTTCTCGACCTTCAGCAGCAGTCGGCCCGAATCTTCACTTTCCATCCCGGACCATGTCGAACTGGGTAGTGCTCCGCTCCTGCAAAGCCCCAGCCACTCAGGCTCGCAGCTGTCGCCCCTGGATTTTGCCGTGGTGGGCCCCCCGCCGCTGTTTCGTTCGATGGTCCGCTCTGACTCAAGTCTTCTCGTGTTCAGCACCATGAGGATAGAATTCAGTGTTTCGGTGTTGGATCATGTTGCGCTCGGCCCTCCGCCACTTCTCCGGTCGCTCACGCGTTCGGGACCCCTCGTGCCAGTCTTGGACTCCGCAAGCCTTGAGCCTTTTCTGCTGCCCCGGTCTCCAGGTCATCTAGGATCCAGCCTGCCTGTGTGGAGCACGACACGCTCTGACTTTTCAGCACCGCTCTTGGATTACTTGCGACCTGATCCCTCTACGCCACCAAGAGGAACCGGTTGCTTTGGATCAACTATCTTCGTTTCCGCTTATGCGCGATTGGAGCTGATCTTGCCATTGTCGGACTACGCATGTACTGACTTGGCGGCGCTAGTTCGAAGCATGTCATACCTTGGCTTCCCGCCGCCTCTTCCTGACCTCGTCCAGCTTGGTCCAACACCGCCTCTACAAAGTCCCAGCTGGGCTGATCTTGCTCTGCTTGTATGTGGCATCTCATGGCTAAACTTGAGCCTGCTGATGCTGGACCCTCTTTTGCTTGAGTTGCCGATTTCCTTGCGCAGCTCCGCATGTACCGGCTTAGTTCCGTTGGTCTTGGACTTTTCGATTCCAGGACCCACTGCGCCAACGCAATCATCCTCCCGTCCTGACCTCCCGGCGTTTGCATGGAGTGCGGCATGCCTTGGTCCAATACCTTCACTTCCCGACTTGGCCGAGCCAGGATTGCTTCCTTTGATCAGGAGTTTCAAGTGCCTTGACCTCTTGTTTCTGGTCTTCGGGCTCAGCTGCCTTGACCCTGCTACCTTGCTCGTGGACATGGCTCTTGTTGGACCTCCGTCGCCCTTGCAGTCATTTATTTGTGGCGGATCCCCACTACCGACCTTTGGCATCAGCTGCTTGGAGCTGCTTTTGCTCTTGCTGGACTTCTTGCAGCTTGGGCCGACCATGTTGCTGCAGTCTTATGCACGCCTGGGCCTCGCATTGCCCGTAGCATGTGCCTCCCGATTCGACTTTCTTACGTTGGCCCTGGATTTCGTTTCAACAGACAGTTCCATGCCGTTGAGAAACTTCGTTCGAACAGGCTCCTTGCTTTTGTCCTGTGGCCTGGGCTGTTTCGGCCTTCCACCTTTTTTGTTCGGGGTTGCGACAGTTGAATTGCTGCCATCGGCGAGGAGCTTCTTCTGATCAGGCCTGGCTGCGCTCATACTGGATCTCATCCAACCTGGCTCATCCGTGTCACTGCATCACTTTGGCCGGTCAGAGTTCGCATTTTCAGTTTTCGGCATCGGTTGGCTGGGCTCGTCGTTGTCCGCTCTGGACCCCACCGATCCAGGCTCGCCCGTGCTCGCGCATAGCTGTGCTTGCCCAGGTCCTCCGGTCCTGTTGCCAGATCATGTGATGTTTGGGTCCTTGTTGTCGGTCCGAAACACGGTACAGCCGGGCTCCACTTTGCCCGTCATGAACACCGCAAGATCAGAGTTTGCATTTTCGCTTTTCACTTTGGCGGAATTGGGCTCTGTGATGCCAGCGAGAAGCATGGCCTGATTCGACTCGCCTTCCCCACACTTCGGGATTTTCCGGATGGGTTCCAGCTTCTCTCTCTATGACTTTGCGGAGCCCGACTCGATAATGCCGGTGCACAGTCTCTCTTGAATGGGCAGTGCCTTTTCCGCGTCCAGTGTAAGCCGGTTGGGCAGTCCGCCTTTGACTTCAGACTACACCGAACTTGGCCCAGCTCCACCTTCGCATTCCACGGCACACTTGGAGCCCACCCCTTTTCCTCTTGATTTTGCCCAGCCTGGGCCGATGATGTTGTCGAGGAGTTGCGGGAGGCTAGGACCCAGCTTTTTGGCATCTGGCATATCACGACCTGAAAGCATTCCGCCGCTTTTGGAGGCGGCCTGTTCGGGATCCCCGACTTTTGTGCACAGCTCGGCCCGACTGGACTTCGCGCTGCCATTGGTGGACTTTGTGCATGCCGGACCAGTCGTGTCAACTCGAAGCCTTGCATGTCTAGGCTTGGCATTCTTCCTCATGGGACTTATGCGGACAGATCCCAGCGTTCCGACACTAGACCACACGCAGACAGAGCTTCCCACGTTGTTGCAAAGCTTCGCTCACCCTGGATTGCTTGTGCTTGCGGCAGATCATGTCGGTGCAGAACCTGCGCTTTCTTCGCGAAGCTTAGGTAGAATGGACCTATCGTTTCCTGTCTTGGGTTGCACGTCGACTGACTCACCCCCTCTGATTTCGGATCTCACGGACCTTGGATTTGTCCTGCCCGCCCGATCTTACTCTCGCCTGGACTTGGTTCTGCTGCTTCTGGACTTTGTGCAGTTCGAGCTCCCCATGTCGGCAAGGAATTCCGCGCAGTCGGGATCCAGTACCCCTCTTGTCGGCAATGTTTGTTTGGAGCCATCTCCGCTCATTCTGGATTGGGCCATTCTTGGTTTCGCACCTCTGGTTCGTAGCTTTGCTTGGGTTGGCAGCGTTTCGCCTGTGCCAGACTTTGGCCATCTTGACCCGTCACCATTCACGCGCAGCTTGGCCAGACTTGACTTGCCAGCTTTGATGCTCGGTGCCGGCTGCTTGGAATTGGTATCATCCGTGCCGGACCATTCTCACCTGGACAGCTCGGTGTCGTCGCGCTCACTTGTTTGCCTGGGAAGCGTGCTGCTGCCTCCTGATTTTGTGATGTCCGATTCCTCCATGCCTGTGCAGAACTCCTATCAGCCTGGCTCAAGCTTGTTCGTTTGTGGATTGGGATGATCGGGAGCCCCATCGCCAGTCCCTGACCTTACGCAGTCCGAGCTGCCTACGCTTTTAAGACAGTTTGCATGACCCAGTTCACCCGCGCCAGCTCTCGGCATGGCTTGCCCCGGCCCAATCCTACTGGTGCTGGACGTGTCCGAAATTGGATCAGCTCCACCGGTGCACAGTTTCGCTTGTCCGGGGTTTGTGTCGTTAGCGCCGGACTTCGTCGCGGTTGACCCATCACTGCTTGTACAAAGCCGCGCCCGATTGGGGCTGACAATGCCCCCATCTGACTTTCTTGCTCTCGGCAGCATGCCGTCCGTGCGGTCATTCTTCCGTTGTGGGTCGTCGACGCTTGCAGCAGGCAGCAGCCGATCTGGCCTCGCGATGCCTCTTCCGGATCTCGGTCACACTGGGCCTTCCATGCTCGCTAGGTCTTTGGCCCGCTTGGGGCCACCTCTGTTCGCCTTCTCCCTGTGCAACATGGACCTGTCAATGCTGGCGTCTGACCACACACACTCAGGCAGCGCTCCATCGGCGAGAGCATCCCTCCGAGGTGGGCCTTCGCTGCTAACCTTTGGGATGTCCCGACTAAGTCTATCGTTGTCGATCCCAGACTTCACTGATATGGGTCCGCTACTGTCCACACGAAGCCACGCACAGCCTGGACCCTTGTTGCCAACGTCCGACTTCTTGCAGCCAGACCCCATCCCGCCTGTGCGAAGCCCAGGCCGCAGTGGCTTTCCCTCTTTGATATTCAGCTGTACGCGTCCGGACTCACTCTTGCTGTCGTTAGACTACGCAGTGCTCGGGTCATCCTTGCCTCTTCAAAGTCACACCCGACTCGAAGCTGTAGTTTTAGCACTCGACAGTGCGCACATCGACTTCGCATCGTCCCTCCGAAGCATTGGGCAGCCAGGGCTGTCATTGCCAGCCTTTAGCATGACCTCCATGGGCTTCTCGTCGCTCGCTTCAGACTTTGTCCAGTGTGGCCCGATCTTATCTGTGAGAAGTTATGCTTGGCTTGAACCTACGTCACCTGTGCTAGACCACTTGCAGCCGGGCTTCGTCTTGCCAGCGCGCTGTTCTGCCAGGACTGATTCTGCCGCACTTGTCTTTGGCAGGGCCAGCATCGACTTGGCTGTGCCTTTGCTGGACTTTGTTCAGACCGGGTCGGCATTCCTGCTGAGGTCACCCGCGTGCTCAGAGCCTTTGCTTTCTGTGCCAGATCCTGCGTACATTGGCCTGACCACGCTGATACAAAGTCCCGGCTGTTCTGGATCAGTGCTGCCAGCCTGTGGGTTGATACGTGTGGCGCTGGCCCTGTCCGTGCTGGATCACGTTCATGTTGGCTTCTCCATACCAACGAGGTCACTGCTGCATCTTGAACCATCTTCTCCCGTGTTGGACTTCGTTTCCTTGGGCTCATCTTTGCTTATGAGATCCTCTACGTATCTGGGCTTGGCAGCTTCTGCGCTTGACATGACGGACACCGGACCGGCGTCGTTGGTAAGATCATCCGCATGCTCTGACAGCCCTTCTCCAGCATCTGGAATGACATGAACGGGCTTTTCCTTGCTGTCGCTTGACCTGGCAGTGCTTGAGTCGTCGATTTCGGTGCAGAGCTTTGGCTGTCCTGGCCCGATGCTGTTCATCCTGGGCACGGGCCGTGCAGACTTTGCCCTGCCACTCCCGGATCCTGTCCATTCAGGGTTTCTGCCTCCGCTCCAAAGTCGTGCCAAAACAGAATTTGCCCTGCTTGTGCTGGATTCTCTGGTTCCAGGCCTGACCGTGTCCCTGCACAATCCTGCCTGCTCAGGACCATCTCCTCCTGTCCCCGGTTTGGGCCGCATGGACTTCTCCATTCTGGCCTTAGATGATGTGAGACTTGGGCTGTCTCTGTCTGCCAGATCGTTGGCCTGGCTGGACTTAATTTTGCCACCTCCTGACTTCGTAGTCACGGCATCTGCTTTGTCCGCACGCAGCCTGTTGTGCTTGGGCTCGACGACCTCTTCACTGGACCCTGCTCATACTGACAGCTCCGCGTTCACCCGGCAATTCGTCAGAGGCGGCTCCGCTTCACCTGCTCTGGGCTGCTCTCGATACGGCTTGTCCATGTCCGTGTCTGATTCCCTCCACTTGGGACCTGCACCCTTGCCTCGTAGCCCTTCGCACATTGGAGCCTCGGTGTTTATGTTGGGCTGGGCCAGCATGGGCTTGCCGACACCACTTCGTTCCTTCAACTGCACTGGCTTGCCCGTGCTGGTACCGGATTCCGTCGAGACAGGCTTTGTGCTTTCCCTACAAGGTCTCTCGTGCTCTGGTTCTGCCTTCTTCATGTGCGGCTGCACTCGGCCCGGTCTCTTCATGCTCTTGCCAGACTATGCAGAACCAGGCCCTCCTCTTCCCATCCGAAGCTCCGTCCGATTGGAGTTCGCTTTGCCATTTCTCGACTTTGCAGAGTTAGGACTGCTGTTGCCACTGCGGAACCTCGTGCGTCTTGGTCCAAGCCCACCTCCTTCCGGGCGAGCTCGTTTGGATGATTGGACTTCAGCCCACGACTTCACGAATCTGGGCTTCGTCCCGTCGTCGCGCAGCATGGGCTGCTCAGGCTTTGCCTTGCTTGTGCCTGACCTCCTGCTTCCCGGCTCCTTTATGTCTGCAAGGAGACACAGCTGCCCTGGCTTTGGGCTCTCGGCTTATGGGTTCGGGAGATTTGGGCCGACCATGCCTCCCTTTGATTACTCCAACTTTGGACCGACCTCTTTCGTCAGGGCTGTCGCGAAGTCCGGCCTCCTCTTCTCAACATATGGAGCAACCTGTGGTGCATCTCTGCCTTCATCTGAGTATGCACATGCGGGTCTGCTTCTACTTGCGAGAAGCTTCACACAATTAGGGTTTCGGTTGCCCGCCTTCCACAGTGCCGAGCCTGGCAGCCCACTACCGCCTCGAAGCATGGCTCGCCTCGGTTTTGCCTTCTCTGCCTCTGGTATGCTGCGTCTAAATCCTCCAATGCCATCAGCTGACCATATCGGTGCCGGCCCGTTGATGCCTCTTCGGAGCTTCGGACGCTTCGGCTTCAAGTTGCCGGCCTACGGTGCAGGACGATTTGAGCCATCGCAGTCTGTCTGTGACTTCGTAAACCCGGGCTTGGCAATGCCCGTGCAATCGCCAGCACGCACGGGCAGCTCAGCCTTTCTTTTCGGCCTGGCCAGGATCGGGTCAAGTGTGTTGGTTTCCGACTTCACAAGCTCCGAACCCACTCTCCCTCCGAGGGGTGCAGCTAGCCTTGGCCTGTTCACATTGCCGTTCGGCATGACGCGCTTCGAATGTTCCGCTCCTCTTTTGGACTTCGTGAATGTCGACTTCTTCATGTTGCCGCAAAACTGCGCCTGCTCCGGTTCCAAGCTGCCTGCGTACGGAGCCGGTCGCTCCGGATTCCTCATGCCTTCGTGTGACTTCGTGAACTTAGGCAGTTCGTCGTCTGTGAGAAACCCTGCAAACCCAGGCTTCAGGTTCTCGCTATTCAGCTCTTCCAGGTCTGAATCCTTCCTGCCTGTCGCAGACTTTGCTCTCTTCGGCTCTCTGATGCCGACCCGCTGCTACGTCAGATCTGGTGAGCACATCTCCGTGGCAGGCATCGCCCGCCTGGCCTCGGCAACCAACATGGACGAGCAAGCATTGCTGGGCAGCTCGCCGTTTGTAAGTGCCCACACTCGCATGGGCCTCGTGTTGCCTATCTCCGGCATAGGTGTATTTGGCTTGAGGTTGCTACTTTTTGACATGGCTCAGCTAGAACTTTCCTTCCCAGTGCAAAGCCCCAGTCGCTCAGAGTCCTTGCTGTTCATCTTCGGACAGAGCAGATTTGCTTCGCCACTGTCGACCTCGGACTATGTGTGTTCGGGCCCCCTGACTCTGCCCCGAAGCTCCTCTTGACTAGACTCAGCTGCATTTCTGCCGGACGTGATGTGCGTCGGTAGCTTAATGTTTGTGCAAAGCATGGCCTGGTGCGGCTCGGCTGTACTTTTCTCCGGCACGCACCGTACTGGTCTGAGCCCTTTGATTTTCGACTCCGGCCATATGGACAGCATGCCGCCTTTGCACAGTGCCGCTTGACCTGAACTACCCCTGTCGACCTCCTCTTGCGGTCGGCCCGGATTTCAGCTCTTTGTGTCTGACTGTGGTGCTCTGGGATTACCGCTGCTGGTACGGGCATGCGCAAGATCCGGGCCAGTCACATCTTCCAGATCCTTTGCTTGCATAGGTCCCGCTTCCCTGCTCTTCGGCATTGCCCAGTCCAGCCCGCCTCTGTCAGTGTCGGACCCCTCAGGCCCAGGCCTCATGATTCCAACAAGAAGCTTTGCCCGACTTGGCTTCTTTGCTCCGCTCTTTGGTTGTGCCGAGTTTGGCTTGCTCTTGCCCGCTTTGGACCGCAGCTCACTAGGTTTTATTCTGCCGACCAGGTCTACGGCTTGGCTTGGACCGCTGCCATCCATGTCTGGTGCATCTGAACTCGATCCTTCGCTGTCGATCCCAGACTGCTCCAGCCCAGGGTCGATCCTTTCTGTTCAAAGCCTGGGCCGGTGTGGGCTGTTGCTGTTCTTGTTTGGTCTTGGTTGGCCCGACCCATCCTTGCCAGCATTTGACTGTGCAAGCCTAGAGTTAATCTTGCCGCTGCAATCCTGCACCCGAGTGGAGCCCGTCCTGTTTGCCTTTGGTCTGGGCAACTTTGGATCGTTCACGCTTGTCTTCGACCTTCTCCACCTGGACTTACCACTCCTTCTGCGCAGCTTCTCACAAATAGAGCTTGCAGCACCTGCGTTTGGAATGGGGGAGATGGACTTTTTGCTTCCTGTCCCGGACATGAGTGGACTCGACCTGTTTCTTTTTGTGCGTAGCTTGGCCTGCATGGGCTTCTCGGCCTCGTCGTTTGGATTTGGCTGCCTGGACAGCCCCCTGTCCGCCTCTGACTACAGCCACCCGGAGCCAGCGCTTCTCGCTCGAAGCCCGGTTTGTTTGGGTCTCGCTGTGCTGTTGTTTGGACTGGGACGCGCTGGCTCTTCTACATCTGCATCTGACCTCTTGCACTCAGACTTCGCGCTGCTGCCTCGCAGCTCTGCTTGCCCTGGTTTGGCGGTGTTGACGTCCGGAGTGGTCAACCTCGGCTTCTCTTTGCTGGCGCTCGATCGTGCACACCTAGGCCTCGCTCCTTCTGCACGGTCACTGGCAAAGATGGGTTTAGCGGTGCCTTTCTCCGGCCTGGGATGCCCGGACGCCGCAGCTTCCACCTCCGACTGCGGCCACATGGGCTTTACCTTACTGCTTCGAAGCGCAGCCTGACCAGGCCTTGCACTGCCCTCATCCGGGATGGGGCGGGTCGGATTATCGATGCCGGCGTCTGATCTCCTGCATCCGGGCAGCCTTCTGTCTATACGGAGTCTTGGTAGAACGGGGCTTGCAGTGTTTGCGTTTGGCCTAGGCCGCATTGAATCCTTTCTACCGGTGCCGGACAGTTCTGCGCTGGGCTCCTTTCCGTTTGCACAATGCACGTCGAGATCTGGCTTCGTGCCGCCTGCCTCCGGTCTGGCACGGATTGGCCTGCTGCCTCTGGTCCTGGACAGCTCTGCTTCAGACCTTCTGCTGTTTGTACGATCCCTGGCGCAGCTGGAGTCGGCTGCTTTGATCTCCGGTCTAGCATGTCTGGGAAGCTTGACTCCAGCCTTTGACTGTGGAGGACCGGGCAGCCTCCTTCCTGTGCGCAGCTCGGCATGTGGTGGCTCCTTGCTGCCTCCTTTCGGGCAAGTGTGTACAGAGTCCAGTCCCCCAGTTCTCGACCGCTCGTCTCTAGGGTTTTCTCTTCCATCGCACAACTGCATGTGTGTCGGCTTGCTGCTGCCAGCTACGGGTTGTGGCAAGTTCGGCTCGTCATTGCCAGCATCCGACTTCCTTCACTCAGGGCTACTGCTGTCTCTTCGAAGCTTTGGTTGAGTTGAGCTGCTTTCTCCAGTCTGGGGCGCCGCATGCGTAGACTCCGGGCCTCCTGTCTCTGATCATGACCATTCAGACTTTCCGTCGCCGGCAAGATCCTCAGCTTGCTTAGGCTCCGCACTGTTTGCTTTCGGAATCGCACGTGTTGAATCCCTGCTTCTCGTCTTTGACATGGCCAGCTGTGGCCTGACATCGTTGCCACGGTCGTGTGCCAAGCCGGGGTTTGCTCTGCTGATCTGGGGCGGGGCTTGCTTCGAAGCATCTGTGCCAGCGTTTGACTCTCTGCATCTGGGACCTCTGCTGTTGTCGCAGTCTGCAGCGAGACCTGGTTCTGCTCCTCCATCCTTTGCTGCATCGACGGTGGAACCGCGCATGTTTGCTTCTGACTGCAACCACTCAGGCTCGTCATCGCTAGCCCAAAGCCCAGCTTGCATGGGCCCAGCTGTGCCTTTCTTTGGCCTGGGACGTTCGGAGCTTCCGGTGCCTGTATCTGACTTTGTGCATTTCGGCTTGTCTCCATCTACTCGAAGCCTTACTCTCCTTGACTTAGCCTTGTCTGTATCTGGTCTAGGGTGCCTCGGGTCGTCAACATCCGCTTCCGACCTTCTGCACCCCGAATCCTCGCTACCTGTCCGCAACTTCGCCTGAGCTGGAAGTGTGGCATCCGCATTCGGTGCGACCAAGCTGGGTGCAGTGCCATCTATCCTCGACCACTCTGCACTGGACTCGCCACTGCTAGCGCGAAACCTAGCGCGGCCTGGACCACTGGCATCGATGTTTGGCACGGGTCGCTCGGGCTCTTCGGTTCCTGTTTCCGACTCTGGCCACATTGCATCCCTTCCGTCTGTCCACAGCTTTGTTTGGACTGGCTTGCCGATGCCTTTCTCCGGCGTGACATGCATCGGCTCCGCATCCTCAGTCTTTGACGGGAGCGCTCCAGACTCGCCGTTGCTGGCACGCAGCTTAGCACGCTTGGGCTCTTTGGCTTCCGTCTCTGGCATGGGATGTTTCGGCCCGTCTGTGTTTGCCTTTGATTTCTTGCACTTGGAGCTGCTAGTGCCGCTTCGCAGCCGCGCATGACCTGAGCTCTCGCCTCCGACTGACGGCTCATTCTGCCTCGTCCTGCAGCTGTTTGTATTTGATGCGTCTCACTCAGGCCCCTCACTGTCAGTTCGATCTCCAGCCAGCTCAGGACTTCGACCGTCAGCATTCGGGTTGTCACGGCTTGGCCCTTTGATGTTCGTCTCCGACTGCTCTCAGCCAGATCCGATAGTGCTGCCCCACAGTGCTGCTCACTCGGGCACATCTGTGCTTACTTCTGCCACCGCACGGCCTGGCCTAGCGGTGTTTGTGCCAGCCTTCCATCACCCGGGCTTGCCACTTCCAGCTCGCTCCTTCGTTTGCTTTGCCTCCTCGGCATTGGCCTCAGGACTAGGATGCATTGAGCCATCCGTGCTTGTTCCTGATTCCTCGCACACGGAACCAGCCCTTTCCATCCGGAACTTTGCTTGCACAGGTCCAGCTGCGCCGTTCTTCGGCCTCGGCAGGGTGGATCTGCCGCTGTCGGTCTTTGATAGCAGCAGCTCAGGACTTCTTCTGTTCATTCGCAATCCCTTCCGCGCTGGGCCAAGCCTCTCGGCCTTTGGCTTGGGAAGCCTGGACCTGTCCTCGCTAGTCTTGGATCTCACGCATCTCGAATCTTCTACGCTGTTGCGAAGCTTCGTCCGGCCGGGCTTGCCGATTCTGCCAGTGGACTTCGTGGCGACCGGCAGCTCGATGCCGCTGCGGCAGCCTTCTCGAACTGGCCTTGTCGTGCCAGTGTCCGGTACAGCCAGGCTTGGCTCCAGTGTCTTGCTCTTTGATGCTGCCAGGGTTGGTTTGCCGACGTTTGCGAGATCGACCAGTTGAGCTGGCTCTTCCTTTCCTATATTTGGACTTGCAAGGTCAGGACCCTTAGTGTCTATTTTCGATGCGATCGGATCTGGCCCACCAGTACCAACGAGAAGCTGTGCCCGGCTGGGCCCTGCGGCATCCATTTTCTCGGTGATGCGGCCAGATCCAGTCCCGTCGGTGGTGGATCTGACGCAAATGGGCTTTGCAATGCCGGCACGAAGCAGGTTCCGGCCAGGCTCCATGTTGTCCACTTTCTCAAGTGTTCGATTCGAGCCGGCTTTGCCTGCGTTGGACTCTGTTAACCTCGGAAGCACTTCATCGGCGGGAACAATCAGGACAGGGCTTTGCTTGAATTGCACCGCCGCAGCTTCTGTCATGACCCAGCATCCAGGCCTTCAGGGCAATGGGTCGGAATGCGTGAAATCGCGAGGAGCTCCCTCATCTCGGATGGCTCCGACTCCACGTACCTGAAGATCAGCTCGCACCCTCCCCGCATAGATAAGGCATTTCCAACTGCACCGTGACATTTTCCAACGGCTCGAGCTTCTTTGCAAGGTCTCAGCTGGACGTCTACGCTGGCACCCAGCGTGGCATTACAGTGACCGCAAACGGTGGCACACTGCACGGTTCGGAGCTCATCTGAACCTGCTTTTTGGCCATGCAGCCGCAGCCTTTGCAACTGGGAGTGCTTGTTAAAAGCATCTGACGAGCTATAGGTGCATGGTCGGCAGAAGCCAGTATCACAACGTCCGCCTGGCACTGAAATGTGATGTGGAACCGCCTGGAGTGGATAGCATGATGTGCAGACAATCGAAGCAGGACACACTCAAGCCAAGCCCAGGACAGGCGTCTGAAGCGCAATATTCAGCCGCTGTACCAAACCATCGCAACCAGAGCGCGTGATCGCTGTAGCCTCAGCTTTGTAATGTGCACTGCAGCTGCCTCACATTGCAAAATAATGCGATTTGTTGGCTCAGGATGGGAGTCCGATTCGGGAGTACAGCCGGCAGCTGACAAGCACATCGCCCGGCAGTGGATTCGGATTCGCCGGCGAGCCGCGCAACATCCGTACAAGCATTCTTGCTCCTGAGGCTGAGCGAAGGTGAGCAGGTGAAGTGGCTGCTGCGTCCGAGCCTCAGACTTTTTTCGCAGCATTGGCCAGTAAAGTAGGTTGAGAAGATCAGCGGAAGTCACTCAGAAGGGACAACTCACAAGAAGGCGGAACTACGGATTTGTCAAGGCGGGGATCGCAGACATTGCTCTAGGACTTGAACGGGTGAGGCGAGCTGCGGCCAGTCTCCTTCCAGCTGAAACGGGGACCGGAAGCCAAGTGCCCGATGACACTGACGATACTTCATGACAAATCCTGTGATATCCTGTGTGGCATTTTCGAGTACGGACTGACGATCGAGTCCAGGTACCTGAAATTCGGATTCATCGCGCAAGAGCTGGAAGCAGTCTTCCCCAACTTGGTCTGGTGTTCGGTTCTCTCACATTGCTTTGTTGTTGTACGCTTCCAACTCCAAGGTTCGGACGGTTGGGGACAACACGAAAGCAGTTGCAAGCCAGGCACACAACGAGGGGGATGAGGGGTGTGATCGTAGGCTGCAGCTAACGTGCCCTCTCCAGTCTTTGCGGTGCCTCTGTGCTGCGCCACAGCTCACCTCCATGAAGCAAGCAGGACCTCATCGCGGTGCTGACTCTCGCCTTCCAGAATCTGCAGAAGGAGCCATTTCCGCAAAAGCCACGACGGGAATCTTAAGACTTGTCTTTGCATATCAGGAGCACGATGAGTACAAGAAGACGGTGCTTGATCAGCAGAGGGACTTAGAAGCCCTGAAGCGGCGCCTGGATCGCCTCGAAGCCGTGGGCGGCCGCCGAAGCCCCAGCCGGCTTTTCCTGACTCCTGTAACTCGACCGTAGCTGTGCCAGCAGTCACCGCAGTTCTGTGCTGAGGTGCATCAGCTGCATAAGATCCAAAGGGATGATCCTTGCGTGCTCAGGTGCCTCTTTGGCTACAAGTAATTTCTCAGCATCCGTGTAGAGTGCGACATGGCAGGCAGAGGCGCTGAGCGGCTCTGACATCCAGTCTCAGAGTCCGGACTGTCAATGCTTTCGGACAAAACATGGGTCGAGTCCTTTGCAACAGTCTGAAAACTTCCTTACCCAAACCCATGATCCCAGTGGGTCCGAGCGGTGGCCGCTGCCACATCTCTGGCTCACAGGGTTCAACGCTTGGCCCGAGGCTTCAAGCTATGGAAGCCTCTGACATGGTTGCTCCATGAGATGTCAAGAGTCAGATTTCGGCGTATCATTTCGACACTGGGCCCGTAGATGCCAGAGCCATGAAGTCAGCGGTGCTGCGATTCGAGGCTCGCATTCGGAGCGCATGGCGGCGCGTTGCATCCTCTTCGCCCGCAGGATAAGCCGGAAGAGCTGGTCCTAATCGAGCTACAGAGCACTGCTTACATGGAGGCAGTGCCAGTGCGTAGGAGCTCAGACGCCTGCCGTGAATTTCCTTGAAGGACGGTTCGAAGGTCACCGACCAGGAGCTCGGAACCCTGCAATTGAAAGGAGGCCGGTCTCGTCGTTTATTGCTTATCCAAAAAGACGACGCACAGCTGCTTGAATAGCCATCAGGCTTCTTTTTCGTAGCTCCAGCTGCAGCTATGGCACGCTCGGTTTTGGCAGGAACTGTGGTGCTCACAAACGGCCCTCGCAGCCTCTACGGATCTCTGCAAGAGCTCAAAAGCCCGTTGGCCCCTTGAAAGCATTGGTTTATTGGTTTTCCGCAAAATCTTTGTGAGTCGGGCTTGAACCATGCGCACATAGACGCGTGCTTGGCTTTGCTTTGTGTGTTGAGAACATGATGCCGAAAAACACAGACCGCTAGCCTGCCTCTCCACTTGGAATCAGCGGGTGTGATTGGCTGCTGCAAGTGCTTGGCTCAAAGAGCCGGGAGTGCTGAACATGCACAAGGTCAAATTTGTGATCGGAAGTCATCTCTTGATTTGCGCTTGTGCCTCTGAAACCCCGTCGTGCCCAAACAGCAAGAGCAGAAAACCCTAAACCCTCACAGAGTCTCCACCACTGGAATGGCCCCAAGGCTCTACGTGGCTATGGACAGTTCTGATTTTGAAGCTGCTCTCAAGCGCCCAGGTGCTCCTGGAGCGGACTGGACAGGCGCCCTTTTGGTTCCTCTGAAAGCCTTAGAGTGCAAGGAGGTGGAAACGTTTCCGCTTCCATGCCAGCAGTGACAACTTGGGGGCTGTGCAAAGTACGGGCATCGCAGGCTCGGTGAAGGGGCAGGCCGTAACGACCCCTGCATGTCAAGAAAACAAGGGTGAAGACGACGATGTCGAAGGCAGGGGTAAGATTCGCCATACACCTGGTCTTCGCAGAAGGATCCAGAGGAAAATCAAGGAATGACGAGTAAGTCAATGCAAGTAGCACGGAAGACAAGAGGAAAGACACTGCCAGCCGGTGCAACATGTCGTGGGGACGGCGCAACAACTATCTTGAAGATGGTCATACAAAACGTGTCCTGGCAGTTGTTGCAATGCAGAGTCGTTCAAGAGGCAATGCAGGTAGCCCAAACCCTTAATTCAGTCTCCTATCTCATTCTTCCTTGTTACAATCAGAAAAAAGTTTGAAACTCAGAAAGCCCTGATCCTGAACGGCCGTGGCGCCCGGCTCAGGAGGAGCAGCTCGTCGGAGAGACCCGGGCAGCCCTCCTTCGCGCCCGCGGGGTGATCCGCAGGAAGGCCCGGTTGTCAACTAGTGACAGCGCAGCCCAGAAACAGGTAGGGATCGCGATCTTCAAGGCAGAAACAGGGAGAACCACAATAGATTTTGGCTTCAGATCCGATCGCTCAACACTATGCAGAAGCACAAATACAACAGTGCATAATGAGCTTTCATTCAGCATTTGGCAGAGCAGGGGATGTGGTAAACCAAACTAGATCCAGCTAGACATAGCATCCTTTGATTTGCAGGTTTACTTTGAAATGTTGATTGCAGCCCAAGTAGTCTCGTGACGCAGGTCGTCTTCAACCAGCGGCCGCAGCTCTCCGTTTAACAGGACAGGCAATGCTTCTTGAATCTCCGCAGCTGGCCTCAATATCAATGTGAAGATGTTGAGCCGCAGGGTTTTATGTGCTGGCATGCGTACTGGTGGAGCGCCGTCTTCGGTGCAACAGCAAGAGCTTAACAAACGCTGCCTTTGAGCATTCGGGCATACAGTAGTACAAAACATCTCGATGCATCTCCTCAGAAAGCAGACAGAATCTTCCAGTCCTGCAATGCCACGCTGCCCAGCATGCCTGAATTTGCCTTATCGGCTCGAGCCTACATTAGGTAGGCCGAGGATGGTTCCTGCCATCAACTCCTACATGATTGTCTGGTGAGGTGGCGGATGTTAAGGGTTGGAGCGTAGCGGTAAGGGCTCACGAGTCTGTGGCTCCTGCGAGTTTCAGCTCCATCCCGCGCCAGGCTTCTGTATCCCTTACACCAAATGCGTTTGGTGATTTTCCTGCCTATCCTCTGCTGCCAACTTAGCAAGCGAGGAGCCTAGAGCCATGCAATCAATCTGCGGTCATGAAGCATTCCGGGGTCTTGGCTTCCCCTTTGAACAAGGTCAGCCTTTGACTTCAATGACAATTCATTGAAGGTCTTGCTACGCAGTTGCAGCATAAGCCAGGCAGTGTTTTAGGTTCTTGCTCAAACGAACCTGCCGACGAATGCAAGCGGCATCCGGACGAGGCTATTCTGGGCGGTTGACAATGCTACCCGAACGCAGGCCTGGGGAGAGAAGGCAGAGATAACGTTCAGATTTTGGCACCACCCTTGGAAGGAGACCGTAATGCGAAACGTAGCGCGTCTTGGCGCCAACGGTGCATCGTGGATGTCAGATATGGACATGGAGCATGTGCATCTAAGGTATGCTCGCCGTATGGGAGGTCGCCAGTGCTGCGACGTGATCCTTGCGCCCCTTGATAGCCATAGTTCACCAATGCCAGAATGCTTTATATCGACCCTTGCCGCAGGCACTACGAGGGAAGCCCAAATGATTGGGACAAAAACTGGTATGCGTCCGAAGTCACGATTTGACCTCAGTTCCTCTTGAGAGAGATGGAGCTGTGAGTCCTCGGAGTCTTGCCTCTTAGGTCAAGCCTGCAAAAGCCTGGTGGCCTGACTGGGTCACAGCCTCCCCAAATTTCCCGGAGGATTCTAGCTGTGGCACCCGCGTCCGTTCCTTGCAACCCGCAGCTCAGGTTACAAGTTCAGATTCCTACAGGAGGCCTACAGGGAAGACCAGTGGAGCCTTATCCGCTTTTGGTGCTCAGTGGGAAAAACCGGAGAGAGCAGCTCTTGAAAGCAGTGTCTGAGGACCCAAAAATACGAATTCGTCTGGGCTCTGGAGCGGGCCTCAGTGAGGAAGGAACAATCATGTGCAACGAATCTCGGCACTCTCCGAGGACAGCGATATCGATTTTACGGACGTGAATCTCGTGGAGCTCTTCCAGCTGGCACGCTCCTCCGGATCCCTGCATCTCGGATCGAATGCCTTTGTTTCTTTAGGTAGACCCCGAAAGCCCCAAGCAGATTGCTTTCCAGTGCCGGGACATCCGAGGATCATCGGCCCTACCTTTGCGGGCGACCAGGCAGGTGATGCACAGGAGTGCATGGGTTTCCTAAGCAGCTTTCAGCTGGACTCGCCAGAGGCATGGAAGACCTATGCGACGGACCTGATGGTAGACGAGGCTGTCGAGTCCAGGAAGGCAGGAGCGGCCGAAGGACAAGTTGTCCACACAAGCATATTCCGATCCATTCAAAACCCCTCGGCGCAGGCCTTGCTCAGATCGGACAATCTTGTGGACCGGCAGAAGATCAATGTGCTGGGAGACTGGGATTGCAGCATCGGGTTTTTACGTGCTTACAAAGCTGCCAACATCACGTGGGCACTTCGCAGGCAAGCCGGACCCCCGTGGCTTGGATGCAGATTCGAACACGAAAAAACCCTGCGCCCCGTGTCAGGGTTCCGTGCCCGAGGCTGTATGATGCGGCACACTGATTTCGTTGAGATGACCGCACCCTTGTGGCTGGGCGTGCTTTCTGCAACCAAAGCTGAGAGGTTCTTCTGAGGTGTGTTCCACACCCGACACACAATGCACGACTGTGCGTCGTGATGCGTCTCTTCTCTCCCTCTCCACTTTTTGCGAAACCTTTGCTTGTCACGGCCTGCCATGGGGCAGCGTCGTGTCTTTCCTCGTGGAACATACATGAAACTTGTGCCGACTTGTAAGCGAAGTGCACTAGTCAGACCACAGGCTATCCTCCATGGTTCTGTCTTTGATCCTGTGACTTGGCATGTGCTGATGCATCGTAGCATTCTGGCGGTCTGTGATCTGCTTCACCTGGAAATGTCAGAAGCGCTAAGGAAAGACTGCGTCGAGCCTTGCTTGCATTAGATTTCCGCCTGACACGTTTGCAAGACGCTCTGAAAGCCAGATGTCCTGGGCCCCAGTAAGTTCTCCAACCTCCGTAGCCCGAGCAGCCGAAAACATTGGAGAGATAAACACAGCCTGCGTCTTGTTGTAGTGACAATTGCGAGCGTGGATGGTGGGTTATTTTAACTGAAAGTATCGTTCGTGGCCATTTTGGTCTCAAGGACGATACCCATCTTTTGGGCTAGTCCAAGGAACAGGGTGGAGTTTGTCTATGGACCTTGCGGTCGTTCCTTATAGCTCGCCTTTGATCTTCGCCTCTGGCGGGTCACTGGTGGGCTGGGAGGACACCCAAGGGGTACCTGGACTACTCCTTAGCCTGTGCTTTTGCGTCTGGGTTTTCGGATTCTGCTGCGGTAGCTGCTGGGCACGTCCGAGCTCAGCACCCGTGGTAGGCCGGGCCCCGCCGACGCCTGCGCATACTCCTTTGGACCGGTGGGCCCGGATTTCCCAGAGGGCTGTGAACTTCGTTCGGAGCCGGAGGCGGCTCTCCCTGGCCTTTGCCAACCTCGGGAACTACAGCCTCCGCAACACCACCGAGTCCCGCCCGAATCTCCGGAGGAGGGCTGCACGGAGGGCCTCGACGCCTGGGCCCATACTTCACGAAGGTCCCGCTCTTCAAAATGGACCCGACCGACGCGGAGCTGGCGGCGATAGCAGACCTACCGGGAGTGTTCACGTGGGCAGGAGTGACAGGGGCCTTGGAGCGAGCACTGCGGGCGGCATTGGGCGACCCAGCTCGCGTGCGAGAGCTAGCCCTCGTCCCTAGAGCTGCCTGGGACACCATGGTGAGCACCTTGCGAGTGGCAGGACCAGCCGACGCCGACGGCAATCCAGGCCCGCCCCGGGACTTGACCTTGGTAGAAAGAGCCCGGGTCGAGTCGAGCCGTCGAGTGGCTTTGCTGCGCATGGGCATCCCCCCAGACGTCCCAGGGGGAACAAGCCCGCCAGCACCAGCACCGACAACAGGGCCAGCACCCACGGGGAGCACACCGGCGACAGGAGCGAGGAGGCTGAAGTTGTCGTCCATCCTCGACCCTACCTTGGACGCCGAGGTCTCGCCGCTGGGCGCCGCCGAGCTGCAACAGCTCTACAAGGACTACAAGGCCAAGTTCGGCGATTACCCCAGCCCGGATGCCGATCCCTCCTCGGATCAAGTGGCGTCGCTGCGCCAGGTGGTGGCCGCGGGAGCTGCACCTTACGCAGATTTCTCGCTGTTCGGGCCTCACGGCCTGCGCCTCCTTCGCAAGCAGACGTTCACGAGCTACACTCTGAACGTTGCCACGGGCGAGTGGTCCAAGAAGGAGCAGCCGGGCCCCTCGAGCTACCACACGTGGATGGAAGCTTGGAAGGTGTTCCGCACCACGCTCCTCTTGCTGGAGATCGCCGACGCGGAGCGGCTGGACGCCTACGCGGAGCACGTCAGGTCATATGTCACCCAGTTTTCCGACAACTGCTGGTGGCTGATCTACAGGGCGGAGAACCGCCTTCGCTGTGAACACCTCGAACGCATCCGGCGGACCTTGACGGACCGCCCGGAGTTCGGGTTCACTAGCGCAAGGCCCTGGAACGCGTGCTTTGCTGCGGCCGTCCGTGACAGCGACTTCTGGACGAGAGAGCTGATCACGCCCGCGACCCTCTGGTTGTCTCAGAGGCAGCCAGGAAGCGGGAGCGACGGCAGCGGCGGCGGCGGTTCGGGCACGGGGCAGCTCAAAGGTCGAGTCGGGCAAGGAAGTGGGGCCGATGATGGCTCCCCTAAGAAGAAGCAAAAGAAGGGGCGCTATGATGGGGAGGACAAGAGTGAGAAGAAGGACGGGGTGTATGTCCTCAACAGGCGTGGCGCCAAAATATGTGGCGGATATAATAAGGGGAAGTGTGGCAGCAAGAAGCCACAAGGCAAATGCCGAGATGGCTGCAGCCATCAATGCAACATGTGCCTCGGCCCCCACCCCGCTACGGACTGCAGCCGCTCCTGACTCCCCGCCGACCTCGCTGATTCAACGCCCTCTTCGGCGGCAGCCGGGGGTGAGACAGCGGCGGCTCCGCCTGGCACTTCTCATGGGGGGCGGTACGTCAAGCCGACGCCGAAGCGGAAAGCAGGGCCGGCAGACGACGCGAACCAGCAGCTTGTGGACAAGACGGCGCAGTCCAAGGCATCGGGCACCCGACCCTCCGAGCCGCGTCAGCCTCCAGCGCAGAAGCCACCGACGCCGCCACGGGCCAGGCCGGCGATCAAGCGCAAGAGGCCCGATGCCACCCAGCCGGCCACTTCCTCCACAGCCGACGGAAGCCCGAAGGCCAAGGTGAAGAAGCACGCAGCGGCGGCAGCCACGGGCAACAGAGCGAAGGGTGCGAGCGGCAAGCTGGCCAGCACCCAAAGCCTCCTGCTGGTTCCCCCGCTGGAGACGGCGTGGCCCGACTACCAGCCGCTTGTCAGGGGCCCACGGCCGTATGGGATGTGGATGGAGCAGCCCGCCGACACCTTTGTGGAGAGGCCTTGGGCACTCGTCCTTTTCAGTGGCCGGCGCCGCAAAGGAGACCTTCCCAACTGGCTGGTGCACTATGGCTTCATGGTGTGCTGTGTCGACAGGGACTCCTCGCCGTCATGCGACGTCCTCGACGAAAGTCAGTGGAACTTAGTCGAACGAGACATCATCGACGGGCACTTCTCGGTGGTGTGGGCTGGCACACCTTGCGGCACCTTCAGCCCTCTGAGGGAGGTCCGCCCTGGACCCCGCCCGCTCCGCACGGTTGAGCACATAGAGGGCAAGCCGGACCTCAGCCCGTCGGAGAAGACACAGGTCAAAGAGGCCAACGTGCTGGTGGAACGCACGCATGATGCACTGGTGGCGGCCTGGGACCAAAAGCTCACCTGGGGCTTGGAGAACCCGGCCCACGGCGAGAACAAACCGGAACTTTGGCAGATGCCGCTTATCCGCCAACTCGCGGGCCTCGATCGGGTCGCCATTGCAGCGTTTGACCAGTGCAAGCTCGGCCTGGACACGGTGAAGCCCACCAAGATCCTCTACAGCAGCAACGCCAGTGGCTTTGAAGTTCTGGACGGGCTTCGGTGTGATCACCCTCCAGGGTCCCATGGCAGCACCGCCGGGAAGAAGGAGAGGGGCCCGGCCGGCTCCAAGCAGTGGGCCTCCAAGCGCCAAGGCGAATACACGCCCCACCTCTCTCAGATTATCGCTCATTCTCTGTACCAGGGCTTCCGCGTCAGGGCCCTGGAAACGGAGTCCCTATGAGCGGCTGACCCCACCTCGGAGTTCCAGGCCCTGGCGGCGAAGGGCCCGAGGACGGAGAGGGACAGGGAGAACAGCCAGGCCTTGGGCGGCATGCGAAACCCCCGCCGTTCACTCCGCAGGCTGCCCAAGTCGAGAAGGGTGGGTCGGGCCATCCACAAGCTGCTTCGAAGCTCCATTCAGCAGTGGCCCGAGCTGGTCGAACCTGCGCTCGCCATCCTGGAGGGGAGGAAGCCGGAGGAGTTCGACATGGATGTGATCGGCAAGATCCGGGCAGCCGTTCTCACAACATTGGGGGCCGACGCGCGGGCCACGACACGCGAACGCACGGCCCCAGCGAGCACGCCACTTCGGGCCGAGATCTTTGAGGCCTGGGGCAAAGCCACAGACGACCCGGACTCGGCAACACTGGCCGGCTGGCTCGACCACGGGGCGCCCCTTGGCTTGACAGAGGATATCCCTTCCACCGGGGTCTTCCCGCCGGTGGTGCCTCGGGACCTAAAGCCCCACGAGAAGCTCGACCGCAGGGCTCTTGAGGGCTGGTCCAACTACAAGTCGGCCGAGGAGGAGGCACACGTGCTGGACGAGCTCATCACCGACTACGAGAGAAGAGGGTTCTGCACGGTGGTTTCCACCCTGGAGGAAGCCATCGAGATCTTGGGCGGCCCGCCCGTCCTCAACCGACTCGGCGTCTTGGTGAAAGAGAAGAAGGACGCACAGGGCAACCTGGTGCGAAAGGCCCGGGTCATTTGGGACCTGAAAGAGTCACAGGTGAACAAGGCGTGCAACCAGGGGGAAAGGATTATCCTCCCTAGGCTTCTGGACGTGGTGGCCTCCCTCCTGGCGGCCTATCGGAGGGGCCGGCCACCCTTCCTGGCGTGCATCGACATCCGGGACGCCTTCATGAATATACCAGCCGGGAAGGACCGGCGCTTTACGGTGGCGGCCGTCCCTCGGAAGCGGAACCGAGGCAAGATGCACAAGCTGGTGCTCTTTAACACGTTGGTGTTTGGATCGGCGTCCTCACCAACCGTGTGGGGACGCGCCGCAGCGTGGCTTGGAAGAACGACGGCAGCCACGGGGCCAGCCGACACCCAGGTGTACGTCGATGATCCGGTCTTCGTGCTGGACGGGCCGCACTTGAAGGTCGCCGCCTCAGACCTGACGGTGGCCCTGCTTTGGGCCGCCGTTTCAGGCTACCCCGTCAAGCTTTCGAAAGCCTGTGGTGGCAAAGACTTGGAATGGGTGGGCGCGAGGATCCGGTGCGTCGACGCGGAGGAGGCAGTGATCGTGACCCTGCCGGCCTCCAAAATTCAGGCCCTCCTGCAAGACACCGACAAGTTCCTGGGCCGATCAGTGGTGGGATCAAGGGAGCTACGCTCCTTCACGGGGGCTCTCTCTTTCGTTGCGGGCCTGGTGCCGCACTTGCGGCCGTTCCTGGCTACCTTCTGGGCGGTTTTGACCAGGCATGATGTGACGGGTGAAGGTCGGCATGCTTTGTCGACCCGAAGGCTCATACATGTCAGGCGGATCCGCCCGGCACTCTGCTGGGTTCGGGCGCTACTAGCCGGAGGCCCCACCATCGAGAAGATCTTCTACGCCAACCCGCCCAAGGTCGACCTGGAGATCGTCACCCACGCTTGCCCATGGGGGATGGGAGGAATAAGGAGAGAAGGGGGGCGTCCCACGGCCTACTTCTACCTCCACATCCCAGACGTCGTCCTCCGAAAATTCGGGGCGGAGCGGGGCCTGCCGAAATACAACACGCTGTGGGAAGGACTGGCCCTTCTGGTCGCCTTCCGCTTGTGGCTGCCCTCCCTCGTTCATGGCGCCACGTTTCGTGCCAAGTCGGACAACCTCGGGTTCCTCATGGCACTTGCCAAGGGAAGCGCAAGGTCTGCGGACCTCAATGTGCTTGCTCGGGAGTTTGCCTTCGACCAGGCGACGCGGGCCTACCACGTGAACGGTTTGGTCCACATCCCCGGCGTCACGAATGTGCAGGCGGACGCCCTTTCTCGCCAGTTCGCTCCTGAGGCAAAACGCTTCCCAAAGGAGCTTCTGGAGGTTCCTCGTGACGAGGTCCTCATCAACGATCACTTCTGGAAAGTGTGAGTAAAAGGTTCGTTGCGTTGCGGGTTCGTGTCTCCCTCTCGCTCTCCCCCCGCTCGTTTGCTCTCTTCTCCGGGGTTGTGTTGTGCCGTTTGGGTCACGCGTTTCCGCAGATGCCGCGGCCCAAGAGATCGTACGCTGTAGCCTTCAGGCCCTTAAGTAACCCCACCACGCTTCGAGACCCACCGAGGGCACCTGGCATTCTTCACGAGGGTCCTGCCCTAGGGCGGCCCGACGTGGGTGCGGGAACCCAACCGGGGGGCTTGGCGGGTGCAGGGCCAGAGGCGGTAGCTAGAAACAATGGGGAGCCAAGTGCATATCGTCGGGGGTCGGCGGCCCTGGCCATGGAAGCTTTAACTGACCCCGTTCATTGCCGTTCGGTTTTGCTGGCCGACTCTAGAGCGACCACCTCCATTGGACCCGTTGAGTCTAGACTCAGGCAATGGGTGGCTTGGTCAGTGTGGGCAGGGCTCGAGCCTTATCCCCTAACACCCGACGGAATGTACGTCGTCATGGGTGGGCTCAAAGAGGCTGGCTACCGTTCAGCGATGCAATACCTGGACCTTGCCAAGCAAGAACACGTCCAGAAAGGACACCCGTGGACGGACCAGTTGGCCTTAGCGTATCGGGTTTGCTCGCGCTCCTGCAAGCGAGGGCTGGGTCCAGCCAAACAGGCGGCGGCCCTCCCGCTCGACAAGCTGGCCGGGTTAGACCAGTCACGCTGTCAAGTCCCTTCGGGACCGGCGAGGCCAGTCACCTCCACTATAGTGGCGTCCTGGTGGCTCTTACGCGAGCTGGAAGCGTCCCGCGCCAAGGTTCGGCACATTACCCTGGACTTCGGGGCGAAAGTAGCCGCATGGTTGCTACCGTCTTCCAAGACGGATGTTGCAGCGCTTGGGGCCACCCGCAAGCACTCTTGTTCCTGCGCCGTTTTACATCCAGACCTTTGCCCTTTTCACGCCCTAGCGTCTCTGGTGCAGGGAAAGCAACCGGAAGATCCCGTTTTTGTGGACCTGGATGGATGCCCACCATCAAAGCATGGGTGGGCCGACACATTCCAACGAATCGCAGCTTTGCTGGGGCTCCCGTTGTACCATCACAACGGAGCTCGGGCTTTCACTGGCCACACGGCACGCGCTACAGGAGCGCAGTTCTTAGCCTTTAAAGGAATCGAAATTTGGCGCATCCAAATTTTCGGGAGGTGGGGAAGCGAAGTGATTCTCCGATACGTCCGCGATGCCCCTCTAGCACAGCTGAACGAGTTGGCCATCGAGGCTGGCGACAGGGAAACCTTAGCCAAGATTCGCAGCGATCTGGACAGGCTTATGCGGGAGGTCAGGCCGTCCCTGGCAATCCCCGATTCCAGTTGGCACGTTGAGTGCCAGGTTAGGGGCGCGCCGGCGTCAGGCCCGGCGGCCATCCACACTAGCACGGCCAAGGCCCTCGTCCTCAATACGGCTCGGGGTGGCAAGCTTCACAAATGCCTTAGCGATTTCAGCTCACCCCAGGTGGCGCTGAACCCGAGCTCGTGGCGTACCTGTTGTCTTTGGCCCTTCGCGTCAGGCGACAAATCCTTTCAATGGGTGCCCCTCCGCCATAAAGGCAGGAGATGCAAACATTGCTTCCCCAGCCAGAGGCGGGCTCCGTCGGAATCGGAGTCAAGCTCCTCTTCCTCCTCCAACTCGAGCACAAGCTCGAGTGACCCTTGATACCGAAAACAACCGCGCTAAGCAGGCGGGACGGACATTTATTTGGCAGTTGTTGGTCAGGTCATGCGGGTATCTTCTGCCCACTTGAGTTTGTCCAAGGGCCCTATCGGCTCCTTTTGGACATAGCAAGCGGAGCGACCTTTACGACCAACTGTTGAAAAGTCCGTCTGCTTCGCTTAGTAGATGGTGGTTGTTTGGGGAGCGGATAGCAATTGTCGAGATAAACACAGCCTGCGTCTTGTTGTAGTGACAATTGCGAGCGTGGATGGTGGGTTATTTTAACTGAAAGTATCGTTCGTGGCCATTTTGGTCTCAAGGACGATACCCATCTTTTGCCCACCCGCCCACTCCTGGGTATCTTCTTCCTGGGCCCCAGTAAGTTCTCCAACCTCCGTAGCCCGAGCAGCCGAAAACATTGGAACTCGGGAGCTTCTCCTCGAACGACCGAGGACTGCATCCATGATCGTGCCGAATGGGGCCTAGACAGGCGGGGGTCGAAGGCTTCGTGGATTCAAGGCTTCGGCTGGCCTTTCTTGCAGTGACTAGCTCCTGTCAGGGTCTGGTGCGAGATGGCTTCAGAGAAGTTCTCCGTATCAGTGACTCTGTCGCAAGTAGTGGGAAAGTCTGCATTCCTCGTGGGTCCCTGGAGCCTGGCAGCCTATCCTCAGATGCCGAGAACCTCAGCCCCTACGAGCGAAGGTCCCGAGAAGTCTAAACTGTGGAAGTTGGCAGCCCAGGCTTGCACTCTTCTCGATGCGACGCCGGTGCGTCATCTGGACTGGCAGACTGCAAAGGCCTGGCTTCAGAGCCTCCCAAGAAGCAGTCTGCATCTTTCACGGGTATCCGAGAACAAGCTTGTAGGAGGTACAACAAGAGCAACGCCGCTCTGCCTTCTGCCTTCCTGTCAGCAGTTTGGCCTCTACGCCTCCAGGTCACCGCCGACTTCAAGGATGCTGAACGGAAGGTCAAGGAACGGCGGCGAAGTTGCAAATGAGGGCCACGATGGCCAGTCTTTAGGTCTGCTACATGTTATTCTTTGCACTAAAAAGCCCTCGATCTTGGATTGCAAGTCCGATGCCGAATACTGCTGGATTCAGCAATCTTGTGTAGCAGACGGCATGTACACGTCCACGCTTTACCCCTCAGGTATACCAAATACTGGGCGCAAGTTCGCAACATCGACTGTATGTTGGCGCATAAGCAACGCCGCGTCACGTGCTTTGGCTTTGGACAAAGTTGGAGAATGCACGAAGCTTCGAGTGCCTTTCGTCTGGCCTTGGCTCTTCAGGATCGACACGCATGGCAACATCAAGGAAGACGACTGAGATGTTGGCTGTCGACAACTCCCCCTGCATCTACCAGAATCTACCAGTCTACCAGTGCAGAGCGCAGAAAAGGGTGCACCTCATTGGACAAAGTCTTGAACCCCTGTGCAGCTGGCAAGGACATCGCCGGAGGGCGGGGGATGAGACCTGACACCGGGCTGCGAATCAAACGAGCAGCAGGCCGCGGTGTGTCTCAGATGCCGGGTTCTCACTGTGGCAGTGAGCAGCCGTGGGGTACTGGCTGACGCGACGAGATCCAGTGAAAAGCTCTGTCTGTGTGTGTGTGTGCGATGCAGCCACCATACCGTCCAGAAAAATGCCGATGGAGTGATGGGTTGACTGGCGACGGTGCAGGTGCGCATTTCCTGTTGGAACTTGGCCCACAGCAAGCTGGAAGTCGTTTCCTGCGACGGTAGACGAAGGGGATCCTAACAGCATGGCTGCGCGGGAAGTGGACCAACGCTTGCGTGGCATGCAGAAGCCTTAGAGTCGCTTAGACGTGCTCGACGTGAACAAGGGCCTTTTAAAGTCTCCACCGAGGCTCGAGCCTCTTCAACAGCAGGACGCCAGCGAGACCTACAGGGGATGTGATACACGGCTGTGAACTGGATACGATGCGAGGATCCGGACATTTCCCAGATCGTGACGTACTCAAAGTTTGTGGCCAACTACCTAGTTACCGAGTCGCTGGTGGTGGTGGGTTCTGCCTGCCTGGCTGCTCTATGACCATGTCTGAGGTCGCATACTTCCTGCAGCAGGACGGGACCAGCCCTGGCTGGCGAAAGGCCAACATTGAAGGACGGCACCGACGGCACCCTTTGCGGATTCTCCGCAACGTTCGAGCCCATGCCTTTCTGAGGACCAGTGTACCTCGTTCGTCGGAAATCAGCGCCATTGTGCCCTTTGCATGTCGCGCATAATTATGCATGAAGGCTGCACGTTGCACCGGGTCCGTTCTTGCAGGTATCAGGTGATAGTCAAGAACCAGTTCAGCACCAGTGACCTGATTGACAACCTGCACTTGGCCTCAAAGCATATCGAAGAGTTCGTGCATGTTCTGCACGCAACTCGCAGAGTGGAGACTGAGTTGATCTGCTTAAGAGAATCCTGTGAGGCATCCGGAGTGGGAGTTGGACTGTTGCCATCTCAGAAACTTTCTGATGAAGTCATTTGCATACGTGTCCTTGTGCGCTGCTGCAGTGCAAGGTCAAAAGAACTACATCTTCTACAAGATTGAGGATCCGCGGAGGGCCCAGATGATATTTTCACCAGGAGGTTTGCAAACGGATTGAGTTCATTGCATCCGTAAGGTCGAAGCAGATTCGAGGCCTTTGGTTCCATAACGATGCCGAGCGCATCAAGATTGAGAACATGCTGGAGCAGACTATGGAGCCTCCGACGGATGTAGTGTACAAAGCCTTTTTTCCTCCTTCACATTAGTAACCCCTATGTGGTTTCTTTGATCTTGCACAAGGAAGAGCTTCGGAACAAGGGCATGGATGTCCCACCCACCAAGCAGGCGCCGCAGCTGGTGCATGTCATTTGTGATGGGGTGCGCAAGGGGCTGAAGCATTGACTATCAGGACGAGAGGGACCAATGTTGATATCATGGTCACATTTGATTGATGCATCATGGGTCGTATCGGGCCAAAAGCGATCACAATCGTGTACAAGCCTGGAGAGAGCGCAGGTAGCAGCACAACCACCAAGAGCTGGTGAGTCTGCGGCAAACGGTGATTCACAGTCGGGTGCTAGGGAACCGGAAGTGCTTAATATGCTCATTCTGAAGCTCCGCACACTCTGTGTCGATGGCTGAGGTCCGCAGCACGGATCTCAGGTTTGCCAGACTTTGCAGCCTCAAGTTCATGGCAGCTTGTCAAGGATGGGGTGGTGGTCACGAAGGAGACGGTGCGTACAGTACTTCGTGCAATGGCTGACGATGATGCCTTCCTGGAGACCTTTATGCAGACTCCGTCTCAGCTCTCTGCTCTAAATTCTTCGAACACGTGCAGATTGGCAGATTCAGCCGGAGCAGAGCCACGCAGCCCTGCGCATTCTGAGGAAGCTGAAGCTAAAGTCGAGTGGGTGAAGGCAGCGACCTCGACGAAGACGGCCAGAAAGACTACTTACTATTTTATCACATAAGGTTTTTTTCTCTGACGTTTCATTGTGTCATACAAGTAGTCAGTTACGTTGTATAATATGGCATGGCATGACAATGATAAGACATCATAAGATATGACCTGATCTGGTATGATACGATGTTTGGATAAAAATTTCATCGTCATGTTGTACTCTATTGTAGTGTCCTACTACATATGTTGCTGTACTGTCTTATACTGCAGTCTAATGTACTATCCTGTCCCGAGAGACTTGAGCTGGAGGCTTGATTTTGAAAACAACTCTCAGTGCCTCTGAGGGCACGGAACCCAATCCTCAATGACAAGTTCAATCTGTGCAGGTTGATTGCTCCAACCCCCAACCCCCCCCCCGCTATGTGTAGATGCTGGGCAGGAAGTATTGAAATGTATTGAGTTGCGAGTACGGGTCGCTCGGTGATGGGCGGCCGTGCTGATGCTGTTGCTAGATATCAAGCTGCTCTATACTGTGCTATCTGACTGGCTACTTCTTGAGTCCTTGAGGGTTGAAGCTTTGACCGAGGAGCCCACATTGTGCCCTTCTGAGCAGCGGGATCTTACCGGGGCTCGGAAGATAGGAGTTAGCAGACGGATGCCCCATGTGAGACTGGCGCAAGTCAATGCTGGGGCGAAGGGTTCAGATCATCAGATTGGTCAGGTTCCCGTCATATCTGGCTAGCCTATATACATGCCTTTGGGCAACTGTTGACCTCGTTTTGGTATCATCGCGACGACACGACTTTGCATCGTGTCGCATCTGATGCATCGTGTGACACGGTGCATTTTCAAGATGTTACAAAACTGAATGGGAAGAGAGCAGCGCTATCGGCTGCAGTCACTCCAATGTGGCTTTGTTTTGCCAAAACCAAGCCAAGCCAGTTGCGATTCCCGAGGCAAAGTTCTGAATTCTTGGATGCCACCCTATTTTAGGAGGCAGTGTGTTATCATTCGACAGCGTCGGGATTTGGGCAAATGAGGACACGGTCTCACAGAGGCGATGCGATGACAAGATGCATACTTACTGGACAAAAAGCCGCGAGTCGAGACAGTGACGAGGCAAGGGCCCTGCTGCAGCTCGATCTAGGTCAATCAGGTAACCGTGCTCTTTTCTCAACAAGCTTGTGTCAACCAAGGGCAGCAGCCCTGCAGGGTCCATGGATCCCGAACCTCCCAAACGAGCCAGCTATTGTGTGGCCTTCTGTACCAAGATCCATATGTCATTATGTCATATTATGTCCCAACACCTTGTCTTCAATCGATATGGGCGGCTGGCACAAAGCGGTGCCGCGTAGCCTCCCACACGCCGTGTCCCCAGCATTCTGCAGCTGCTCCATCCGTTTATGAGATGTCCACACAACTTGTTTACCCCAACATGAGGTGACAGCCAACTCAATTTCTTCGAGGAGGCTGATGGTCACTAATGGACGCGCGTGGAATGTGCTGCTCTCTCCTCGAAAAGATCGGCAGGTACATGTATGCAGCTGGATCGTTCGCCAGTGCGTGAAGCTCACGACAGACAAGCTTGGTGGCTGCCTCGTCCGGAAACGCCTGATCCAAGCTGAGAGTCTAGCATGACAAGGGGCAATCAAAGAGCTGGAGACTGAAACGAGCGGTTAACCTTTACTTACAGTCAGTTCCTGATGGTAATGTAATGTATGATGTATTCTAAATATTGAAAGTAAGAAGACGATGACATGAACGAAGTGAGAGAAAGCATGCTTTTTCGTCTAACTAAACGAAACACAGCACGGTTTGGCTTGGAAAACAATAGGATCTTGGAAAAGCATCTAATTTAATAGCACCTAATCGACCATCTAACTCTAAGTTTTCAGCATGAGAAGGAGCGCACGAAGAACAAAGACCGATTTCGGGTTTACTACTTTGTGCTTGTCTATCAATGAAACGGAATGGAAGCGAGAAGAAAGGACGAAGACACAACAACATCAGTCAGTTTTAGGGGTTCCCGTTTTCATTGAATCGAACAATCCATGCATTGTTTGTTTCTGTATTCAAATCAGCGAGAAAAGCAACCGAAGGAAGCGAACCACAATGAGGCGAAAGTGCCATGGCCGCTGTGGTAGTGCTGGGGCTACTTCTGAGCAGGCCCGGAAGCCAACCACTTTCGAGCCGAGGTTTCGAATTTCGGGGTCTGTGAAGGAAACCGATTTAGACTGTGTGTAAGCATGGGCAGTAAGCCTTGTAGCTTCTGCTCGTGGAGCAGAGAGCTGATGAGTCGGAGTGGAGCAATTCAGGCAAAAAGTTGCACCTTCCCCAAGCTTGGTTTCGGGTTAGCAAATCACGCGAAGTTGCTGCACATCAAGTTTTCGCAGGAATGCTCTGGCACAGAACTGTCCGACCGTCCCTGCGCAGAAGGAAGCGATAGGCTGGGTGGCGCCTGGAGAGTTGGCTGCTTCAGCTCCAGGCCTCTAGGCCTCTAGGCTCTGTAGGTGATCCCTCTTTCAGGTGCGGCGATGACTTGCGGGGTTGCTTGTCAGCTGATGGACCTCTCTGTGGCCGACCTCTGCAGGCATCGGAACTTCTTCAGCTTCCTAGGACCTAGGATCAGCCGCAAATCCAAGCTTCAAACGCCTTCTGAGTCGCCAAAGCTCTTCCCGCGTCACTTCTGTTCACGTCCGTGGAAGGTTCGACACCTCAGCCTGCGGCGATTCAGTCTCGAAGCAGCACCTAACTTCTCCATCGGCTGTCTTCTAGTGGACATGTACTAGTACGCTCAAACGGCAGTACGCAGTTGCTTGTGGAATGGGCATGCGGCACAGTCAGGCTAACCCTACGCCGAAATGGTGCACACGCACTTCCAAGCGACTGCGCTGTGAACTCACGGATAGGCATGTTGGCAATCTTAGGTACCGGCAGGGACCTCCTGCCCAATTGCATGCCGAGACCCCTTCTTTGGTCAGGCCGGGACACGGGACAAGCTTCCCCGTTGCGGCGTTGCGTTTCCATGTAATTTAACGCTGTTCTTCCGACAGACCTCTCTGGCCTCTTGCCCCCCTGGCAACACGAATCCGGCATCTCGAGCAGACGGGGTCTCAGCGAAGAGGCATCGCGTGTAGCTTGCGTTTGGTGTGATCCTTAAGGCATGGACGCCTCCGGATTGCGACATCTTTGCGAGCGCCTGCCCTGAGCCGGCGGAGATCCCGGGAGCGTACGTGAAGGAGCCAAGCGGGCAGTGGAAGTGCGCGAGCGGCTTTGCAGGGACGGCGGTCGCTCGCTGTGTGCCAGACGAGAACTGTGAGAATACGCTTCAGTTCTTCGGTTGTGAAGAGACCACGGCGTGCGCAGCTCCCACAGAGTTGATCGGCTGCGTGCTGGATGTCACACAGTGTGCCGATGTGGAGCCGGGTGGGGCCTGTCCGGTCAGCTGCCGCTTTCCATACACCGGCTGGTCCAGTGTGGCTGTGTGTCATCCAGACAACACCAATCCTGATGTTGGCCTCCTTGTAGTGGAGCCAGAATGCACGCTGACTTGCGAAGACCCGCCCAACGAGCCGCAGGGCTACATCAAGGTATCTTCTGGGAACGGCTGGGCATGTGCACCTGGGTATGGTGGCACAGCAACTTGGGAGTGTGTCATTGACTCCGTGTGTGCTTCAAAGAAGGTTCTTTCTGGATGCTCCTTGCTAGCACGCTGCATCTTGCCAGAGGATGAAGATGCTTGCATGTACGACTTGACAGAGTGTATCGGAGAAACAGCTGCTCCTGGAAGCTCATGCAAGGTTCACTGTAAGAGGCCTTATGAAGGCAACTCAACCACTGCCAGCTGCCCAGCTGGAAACACAAATCCCATTCGTCAGCTCGATTGGGAGCCTCCTGACTGCAACATCAATTGCGGCCAGGTGGCAGATGTCCCAGTGGGATACCTGTCTCACCCTTACAGGCGTGAGTTCGGTGGCTGGCGTTGTGTTGACGGCTATGCTGGCTTTCCTGTGGTGACCTGTGGCACAGATGTGAATTGCAATCCTCAGTTAAAGTTCGCCGGCTGCAGTGCATTGATCCCCTGTGTTCAACCGAACCTGTCCGCCGGGGAATTATGTGCCTTCCAACACACATGCATATCAGTGCGCTCGGGGGGCTCCTGCGAAGTCTCGTGCCGGCCACCCTACGTGGGTGGGATTGCATCAGCAGTTTGTCCTCCAAACAATACGCAGAGCAACAGGCAGTTGATCTGGGCTTCCCCAGATTGCAACTTGGAGTGTCCGATCCCAGATCCGGTTCGAGAGGGCTATGTTGTCACAGGAGTGGATGTGCTTGGAAAGCCTACCTTTGCATGCGCCCCACGTTGGGAGGGCACACCAACGGCCACCTGCAGCATCTCCGACAGTGGCTGCAACGCTGCATACGAGCTCCGGGGCTGCACACGCCAAGCGGCCTGCGCCATTCCACCGGACACTCCTTGCTCTGTGGATTGGTCCGACTGCCAGAATGTTTTCGCAGGTGAGAGCTGCTCGGTGTCCTGTGGTCCTAGCTTTACCGGGAACATTACCGAGGCCACGTGTGCCGAGGGGAACACAGACCCGACGACGCTGCTCGAATGGACTTTTCCGGGCTGCCAGCTTTCCTGTCAGGACCCCGTGGCCCCGATCGGCTACTCCAAGACGCTCTTCATGTGTGCAGCAAACTACAGTGGAGACCCGGTGTCGAGATGTGCTGCGGATTGGGATAATGCCTGCAGGAGCACGTATTCCTTCTCAGGATGCAGGGAGCTGGTCCCATGTGCTCCGCCTCGTGTTGGGCGAGGCCGTGGAGCTCGGTCGGAATCCTCTGATGCCCAGGAGATGATGTGCCAGTACGATTTCTCGGACTGCCAGTCGGTTCTTCCCGGGCATAACTGCACCATCCGTTGTGGCACTGATTATTCCGGCACCCAGACCATTGGATATTGTCCATCTGACAACACGGACCCAAATGCCGAGCTGTTGTATGTGGAGCCGCTCTGCCGCCTCAACCCATGTGAGATGAATGTACCTCCAGGCTATGTCGAGACGCCGTGTGGGTGGGTCTGCGACGAAGGGTACATTGGGAGCGTGCAGGCGAGTTGTGAACCGGTCGGGAGTGAGCCAGGGAGATGCAGATCTCTGTTGCAGATCAGTGGCTGCACGCAAACTGTACAGTGTGCTCCCTTGATGGTGAACGACACCTGCCGAACAAATGCTTCGGAGTGCACATCATTGCAGCCTGGCCAAGGATGCAATGTGACGTGTTCCGAGCCCTACACAGGCGGTCAAGGAGAGAATGCAACTTGGGCCTACTGTCCACTCAGTACCACGACCCCCAACCAGCAGCCTGCATGGGGCACGGACATGGAAGAATGGGCACTGGACTGTGAGCTCGAGTGCGAGCTGCCTCGTCCCATTCCCGCAGGCTATTTGTTGGGCACTGACGGTGAGTGGTCCTGCGACCGTGCAAACCAATACAGTGGAGTGGCATCAGCGGAGTGCACCGTCAATGTGTCGACCTGTTCGCCCATTCTTATTTTGTCCGGCTGCTTTCCCACGACGCCCTGCGATATGCCATCTTATGACCGCTGTCAGCACGACGTTTCCGGGTGCCCTGTGGACGGCAAGTTGATCTCCGGAACATCTTGTTCTGTGAGTTGCATGTCTCCATACAGCACTCCCTTGGGAGAGCCTGGTGGCCTCATCGAGTGTCGGGATCCGAACATTGATCCTTTAGGTGCGATTTGGACGCCTCCTCGATGTATCCTGGGCTGTGCTCAGCCTTCGTCACAGGCTGGCTACCGCCAAGTTCTCGGTGAATGGACATGTGCTGATGGCTATGATGGTCCGGGGGCAATCTGGTTCGAATGCGTCGTTGAGCCTGACTCCTGTGTCGCATTCCCGCGCCTCTTTGGCTGCCTGCCCTTCGTTGCATGCACGACTCCGGTCTTGACTCCAGTTCAGCAGTGCGTCTTGGATCTGGTGAATGGCAACTGCTTGTCGGTTCTTCCAGGCGAAACCTGCACCCTCTATTGCAAGTTTCCCTACGTTGGGGATCGTATCTTCGCTGCCTGCCCGGCCACGAATATCGATGCGACACGGGAGCCAAACTGGGCAGCTCCTATCTGCTACTGTCCCATTCCGGACCCAGTTCCCACAGGCTATGTGTATTTAGGGCCCGACGAGTTCGGCTGTGCCGATGGATTCTTCGGAGCCGCAGTCTACAGATGCGATGTAGATACAACGACCTGCCAGCCGACAGTTGTACTGACAGGCTGTTATCCGCTGAGTTCTTGCTCGACACCGCAGGTGGATACCTACAATTTGTGCAAGGTTGACTTCAGCGAATGCAGCGGCCCGATTGCGCCCGGCGATTCATGCAATGTCACTTGCAAGGCAGGATATGGTGAAAATATGAGCATGGCCGAATGTCCTGGTGACAACACTGACCCAGACTACACGCCGGCCTTGTTGTTGGAGTGTGGGGAGTACACATGTGCGACTCCTGAGGAATGGGCCATGGAGAATCCTTTACCGAAAGGATACGACGTTGGTGTGTGGAGGTGCGCTCGTGGCTACCGTGGCGTCACATCCACCCAGTGCCTTCAGTCCGACCAGTGTGGAGGAACTTTGCAGCTATTCGGTTGCGTTCCCCTCGAGTCCTGCTCCTCGCCACGGCTCTCTGCAAGAGATGCCTGCCGCTTCAACTTCACGGATTGCGAGGACACGGTAGCCGGTGGCTTCTGCGAGATCCAGTGCGCTGAGCCGTTCTTTGGTCTTCCGGGCAAGGCCTTCTGCCGGCCGGACACCACCGACCCGAGCACGGAACTGACATGGGCGGAGCCGCTGTGTCATTTGCGATGTCCCGATCCGGACCCCATTCCTGCAGGGTTCCAGCGGGTTGGAAGCTGCGGCTGGGAATGCGCCGAGGGCTACGAGGGGAAACCGATCGCCGACTGCGACGTAGACGAATTCTGCCAGCCAAGGCTCAGCCTCAGCGGCTGCTTGCGCGAGGAGCCATGCATGGTTCCCCAAGAAGGGAGCTACGACCAGTGCAAGTTCAACTTCACGGACTGCATGGGGCAAATCCAAATGCCGGGTGCTTCCTGCCAAGTGAAGTGCAGACCCCCGTACCTTGGTGCAGATTTCGTGGCGACTTGCCCGGAATTCAACACCGTGCCAGGCTTGACACTGGTGTTCTCCGAGTCCAGCTGCATGCTAAACTGCCCAATGCCAGATCCTGTGCCCATGGGATACAGGGTCTCTCAAGGAAACGATTGGAGCTGTGATGAGGGCTTCTCTGGCTCCCCACTGGCGAGCTGTGTGTTGAACGAGGAGTGCCAGGAGCCCCGGCTGCAACTGACGGGATGTTACCAGAACACACCCTGCCGAGCTCCCCACCTGGAGGTGGGTTGTTTTTGTGGGCTGCTGAACTTTCTAGCAGCTACTGGTAGCATCTCTTCTAGCCTCTTTCTTGTCCCTGCAAGGTCTGTCGCTTCGAAACGGATTGCAGGGAGTCCCTGCAGCCCGGGGAGGAATGCGAAGTCCGCTGCCTGCCTCCCTTCAGCTTTAACAGCTCCCTGGCGCGCTGCCCGGATCTGAACACGGAGGCCAACCGCACACCGGACTGGGAAGAGCCGGACTGTGAGCTGCATTGTCCGCCAATGGATCCTCCTGCAAACTACACTCTCGAGGAGGGGGTCCTCATGTGTGTAGCAGATGCCGTCGGACAGCCCATGGCAGAATGCCGAATAAACCAAACAAGCTGCCAACCTTATTGGCACTATGCTGGTTGCCACCTTCTGACGCCTTGCGCGTCGCCAGCAGTTGATGCTTGCCGTATGGACATTGGCAACTGCACAGACGTTGGTGCCGGTGAGTGGTGCGAGATGAGGTGCAGGGATGGCTTGGTCGGGGGAGAGTTCATGGGCAGCTGCCCGTCTGGCAACGTCGATGGCTCCACGCCACTGGCCTTCGATCGTCCTCCGAGCTGCCACTGCCCGGTGGCGGCACCGCAACTTGGCTACAGGCCCAACCATTCACACGGCCACGGCCATTTGCATCGCGTCGACGGTGGCCGCTGGCAATGCGCCGAAGATTGGACAGGAACCGCCGAGGCTACTTGTGCCATTGATGACGGCTGCAACATTCAGGTCACACTCAGTGGTTGCGTGCCAATTCACAGCTGCGCGCCACCACTGCCAATGTACCTGAGCCATCCAGACGACTGCCGCCGTGTACCTGCAGGAAGCACGTGCGCAGCACGATGTGCTCCTTTCGCGTGCGTCTCAGGCGGACCATTGTCTTTTGCATGCCGGAGCCTCAGGGCCTCAGATGGCCTCAGGTGCTCATGTCTACAGTCCGAGCTCTGTAGCGCTTTGCACCTTTGCATCTTCCTGAGCATGAGGTCCAGCAGCAAACCGTGACCCCACACTTCCAGCTGAGCTCGTGGCAGGGTCGTGCAGCGTCCGATGCGAGATTTGCCGGTCCACGCCCTTTCTCGACTCAGACCCTCGCCCCGGACACATCGCCGGCATGCTGCGCTTTGGGGAAGCGCATGCAAACGGGCAAATGCCAGTGGAGGGTGTCTTCGGATACAGGGTCTTCTTTGCAGATGAGTGCGGCATGCAAGTTGGACCTACCTTGGGCTATGTTCCACGAAGCGAGCGGCTCTATGCATGCTGTGCGGCAACAGCCTACTCGCTGGAAGTGTCTGATGCAGAGATTCCGCAAGCTGCAACACAACTGCTCATCGCAATTAACACGAGTTATGGTGAAATGCCTCACGGCACGCCGATAGAGTACAGCGACTTAACGCAAACAGTTGTTGAGACGACGCCCCGGGTCATCACAGCAGATTCTCGTGCTTGTGACGCATATAGCACGGATGTTCACGAGTTTCTTGTGGTCACAAGACAGGGTTGGCCAATCACTTCTGCGGTTCGCATAGTAAAATGCTCGTCCGACAGCTAGGCAGCTGGGGTCTTCCGGGATTCACTTGTCGCAGCATTGCTGCGACGAGCGAAGGGCTGTTTTTGGCATCAGTCCTGAGCATGCAGCGACTTCATGGCATATCAAACGAGCAGCTGCAATTGGTTCATATATCAACATGGACATCGCTTGACATGACTTGCTCGCACCCGAGGCAGAGTCCTGTTCCAACCCAGTGGAATCTGGCTCGTGCTGATCGCCAGCTTGCGGCACGTGAGTCTTTGATATCTGAGCGCGTGTCCGGTGTCGAGCAGATATGCCTGTAGAGTCATTAGCTTTGAATTCGAAGTTAACGGTGCCCCTGACCATTTTCGTCGCAGCCAGCAGCTGGCTCAGCGGCTCTGCACACTTCAAGGGTTCAGGAAGACCGGGGGCTCTCAAAGAGACCTCTCGGTACGAACATTCGACACCGAGCATCTACAAAAGTCTCTGCAAGGACTTGTCTTGGAGATAGTGTTCACACCATATCTAGCACTTTACACAAGCTGTATCCAATAATATTTGCTCTGATTGATCACCTTCTTGCTCACGGCCACCCTCCTTCACCGGCAGATTGTTGCTTGGTTCCCTTTGAAGAGGAATCGTGACTTCTGCAGGCTTGCTTCGGAAATCAGTACGACTCGCAATTGAAGCTCCTGCCATGCTACATCAATTGTGTCCTGCAGGGTTTCCAGCTCGGGGCAGCAAGAGCACAAGCGAACCGGTCCGACAGCGAAACGTGACCCGCAGCAGGAGAAACGCCAAGAGACAAAGGGCAAATCGTTTGCATGCACTGGGAAGCACGCGACATGGCCGAGATCAGGTTGCAGGACGAGAAACTCGGCGCCTCTCCACAGTGACAGCATCCGTGGTTGCTTTTTTTTGGAGGATAGCGGCGGGCCGCATGCATCCAGGTCCTCTAGAGCAGAACTGGACGAGGCCAGGTCGGGTGGTGTCCCACTTCCTGCGACATCCCGTGATTGCATCGCTCTGCGCTCGCGGCAGGGCTACTTGTGATTGTGGTCTTGTGACCGGCATGCGGAACTTGCGCGAGCAGGGTAGAGACATCTGAGCCAATCGCCGAAGCCGTGGTGCCCATGTAGGTCCCCTGCTTGACAGCCGGACTTCCCACGCCCGACTCCGTGCAGTCGCAGAAGGCATGGTATGACTTCAAATTACGCTTTCAAAAAACGAGGTCCTTTGTGCTTAGGGATGTCATGCCAGGAGGCGCACATCGCCAGCCTCGAGCGCGAACTTCGAGAGGGTGTAGCTCAGTTGGCGGAGCAGCATCGGCGGAAGACGGCCCCTGGCTTGGAGTGTCGGGGCGCTTTTCACCCCGGGCTTGTCGGCTTTGGCAGGGATTACTGGAACCTCCTGCAGCCACAACCCTTTCAGGATGAGCTCCACGCCAAGGCAAACCAGCAAAGGAGCCAGTGGGAGCCTGAGATCCGATCATCTGCCCGCCTGTGAATCCCGGGAAGCGCGAGGCTCAGTCTGGCACTGGAGAAGATGGCACCGGACCCTGCTGCTGTGTGGCTTCCGTCGTGGGGTAGTCGTCCTAGTGCTTGAGGTCAAGGAGCAAGAGGCCCTGCTTGACAAACAGTCGGACTCCCGGCGGGGACGTTCTGATGCAAAGCGCCCAGCCTGGGCCTGGGTGCGCTCCCTGCAGGCACCAGACCCAGAGTCAACAGCTCCAGGAAGCCGCCCAACGCCAGCTCACGGAGCTGAACCAGCAGGCAAAGCGGGCAAAGCCCTGCGGCAGAGTGAGCCCCGTTGGAGCTCTGCCACAGGCAGAGCTTCTGGTCCAGGCCTGGAGAGCACAGGCCGGCTGCTGCCTTTCCGAGATGCCGGACAGAAAAGCTCTTGGCGAGGAGGGGCACATCCCGCCGGCCCAAATCCGCGGCTTGCCACGAGAGCTGACACCTCGGTTTCTGAGTGAACCCCAAGAGTACTTGCGCGATCGTACACGGTGGTTACTCGCAGTCGGAAGGAATAGGTCTGTCATCTCTAAACGTCTCCTGCAATGTCTGGCCAGTGATCGTGCACTTGCTGAGGTCTTTGAAGGCACGACGGCAAGACAGTCAGGGCTTTGGGTTTTGCAGAGCTCTTACGTTTGCAGCCTATACCGATGCTCCTGAGGGATCGTGGCACTCCAACAGCTAGACCGCAACTTCAGTCTCACAGACAGCGACACCTGCACGGGCCGCGTGGGAATGCCACGGCCGCCTGCGTGGCCACGCCACAGCCTGCACAGCCTGACTGTGGCGATTTTAGTGTCGAAGAATCTGAGCAAACTCTTTCGGAGCCCCTCCGACTCGGGATGATCTCCGAGATATCTCGATAGAGCTATCTCGCATAGAGGTGCCCAGTGGCGGAAGCATGCGGGTGGCCTGGTCAGCCTGTGTGACACCCTTGGATGCTGCACTTTACTACTTTTGGCAATCTCGGAATATTGTTGCAAGTTTCATGCATTGCGAGCGGCATGGATCATGCTTGTGACTTGGAGTCACATGTGCAAGTGTATTTCGAAGAGTGTCTCTATCTGCCCCTCAAGGGTTTTTTTTGGCGACTTCAAGAGATAGAGTTTTACTGGACTTTGACGGCCGAGGCTGCAGGCCAGGGCGGCCAGGGCGGCAGCATGGCAGTCCTGGTGGCTTCGATCTGAGCAGAGACCCATGGCTTGGTATCCAGGGTTATACCTGGCAGGTCATAGAACTTTGGCATGCGTCACCTTTATGACATGGACATCGATGTCAGCACAAGTCGGTAAGGTCAGAAGGTTGGCATCAGAAGCTTGCCATCTTGCCATGAGGCCCCACCAAGAGCCCAGACGAGCCTGGGAGGCCGGCGGAAGCGGAAGCGGAAGCGACGAGACTTTTTGAATACGAGACTCGGAGATGTTTTTTCTGAGCAGCTGCTATGGCACCTGTCATCGGAGCTCAGTTGCCCAGGCGACTCGAAAGAACACAAGACAAGTGACGACTGTGATCATCTCTGGGTCAGGCCTGGCCAGGGAGCAGTCCATGACGCCGGGAGCCACAGAGTGAGCTTATGGAGCGGTGGCTCCAAGGTTCTCGAGTCTGGGTTCGCACACAAGGGTTCAAAAGCCCGGATCTCCACCCCCTCGAAACCCATGCAAGCCCCGACAGTGCTCTTGAGGTCCCGGAGCCCTTCTCACGCGACTGCGCTGCTCCCTGTGCATTCGGTGCCGACCCTGAAGATTTAAGCATCAGATGCAAGGTCTTCTTCATGAGGGCAGGGGCAGTAGCAGAGCAGCAGCAGAAGTAGAAGTAGCATTCCGAGGCCTGGACTGCGCCTGTGCCCTGAACCCAGTTTCCTTCGAGATTCTGTTGCTGCTAGCTGCTAGATCTCCCACACCCCGCCCCAGATCACAAGGGCTCCTCCGACATGCAGCATCACAGCTGGACCGAGGTCTGGGGGCGTTCTACAGGCCTCCGCCCTCAGAGTTCGGATGCCTTTCTGATTGCAGTCTGAGCTTGCACCGCGTTGGTCGGAAAGGCGGAGCAACACGCGCTGCTTGCGATGGCCGGGGAGCCAAGGATCAGAATCAGGGATACTCAGGCATGTATTCATGAAAGGCTCTGGTCCCGGTTCACTAAGAGGATTGAAGAACCCAGGGATGTAAATATTCTTGCTGCTGCACCGTGCTACTCGTACTCCTGACCGCCCAGACACCGCCGGCTGGAAGACCAGCTGGGCCCGGCCGACAGCTTTCCAGCCTGTGTTGGATTTTTGGACTGGAGTACAGGAGAGAAGGTTCTTGGCCAAGCAACGAGCAGTGACCACGGTCACATTCTGCAAGCTTGCTGAGAAGAGCAGTCGGAATAACTGAGTACACCCAGGCAGTGAGTGAGCGGCCAGCAGATGCGACAACTTTCAGACAAAGATATCGGAAGTGTCGCAAAAGCACCGAAAACTGCACGAGCTTGTCGATTGTGATGAACTGGCTGTGAGACTGAGTGTTCTCATCACGCTCTCACCGCCCGCTGCTTTCGGCTCAGAATTTGAAAGTTTTCGGTGCCACCACCTGAGGCTGGACCGGTACCGTAACACAAGCGAGTGGCCATCCTTACCATCAATCAAGCTGAGAGCCCACGCCTTGCACCAACGGGTAGGTGTGGGAGGATGTGGCAGACCCTCGTCTGCTGAACAGGGGTTCTGGGGTTCGAAAGGTGCGGTCTGGAAACTTGCACTCCAGCTTTTGCAGCGGGCGGGGCGGGAGGGTGAGAACCGGCAGCGCCTTGATCCCTTGCGCCTCGCAGAATTCCGTGTTTCCACCGCCAAAGCCTCAACTGCTTCGTGTCACTGTCGTCGCAGGGACAATGTCGGGCCTCGCTCAGCCCATGGCTTTTCTGGCACCAGGAGTGTCTGAGGCCAGGCCGCATCTTCTCTGCGTCGAGGTGTCTCGCTGACCTTCCCTACTGGCATCGACGGCATAGATCTACAGGGTTTGCATCCATTTGACATTCAGATGTCGTGTGCGGAGCATGGATGCTGGGTGCTGGCGGATCACGACATCTCACGGCCGGTTTGCCTTATCTCGCATGGTATGTGCACTCCGTTGTACCCAGGCATGGCTCCCTAGCTCCAAGCCATTCCCAGGTCCCTAGGTTCTCAGTCTTGAGGCGTGTGGTTTGTGGATCTGATATTGGCATGGCTTTGACGCAGGGATGAAAAGAAGATCCTAAGCATCAAGCATCAACCAACTTCGCATGTAGGGGTTTCAGAAAACAAAGACCCTGATAGACCCGAAGCAGGACGCTGAGTGCAAACATCGCCAAAACAGGTGGCCCCAGCTGCTCCTTCAGTCAGCCGCACCTATGCGCAGTTCTCTGAAAGGCCATTGGGTCCAAGGGGTCACCGCGCGTTGGCTTTGGCTTACAGACGCCACTGCATCATGAGGCCTTATAACAGGAACGCCGCATTTAGCAAGAGTGGATTTCAAGAACTCCGTGTTTCTGATGTTTCCCCAGAGTTTCGTGGCACCGTTGTGAAGAGTTTGGGCCGTGCAAGAGAGTCCTGCTTGGGCTGGCGCTCATCACATCTCGTTACAGTGCTGGACGGTTTTTGCACCGAATCTCTCTGCAGGAGATCTGCGCCAGCTGACTCGGCTTCCAACAAAGCGAGGGTTCCCGGAGAGCTGAGCTGAAGGGCAGATTAGGTGTTCGGTCTGCCGAAAGTCGCTTTGTATGAGACTTGATCGTTGAAGTGAAGCGAAATGTCCAAACACCAGCCTCCTGGCTGCCAGGCCTGGACCGTGTCCACATCTGCCATTGCTGCAGGTGCAGGCGCATGGGTCTCGACAAGGCATGCAAAGCCTTAGTGCCCATGTTTTCGGTGGCCAGTTGCTGCGCTTCGGCGGCAATCAACCCGGCGGGCGCAGCGCCAAAGGCACGAACCAGTCTGTACTTGAAGGGGCGTGGGTGCAGTGGAAGTGCCGGGTGCCGATATCGGCGTATCCTTTCAAGGCTGCCTGCCCCGCTGCGCGTGGCCACCTTGGAGAAGCCGGACGTCGTGGAGCGCGAGGCATCGGGCATCGGCGGCATCGGGTCCCGTCCCCCGACCCCATCGGCCCATCCCGCCATCTCGACCCGAACGAAGGGTCTGCTGCCGTCTCGCAGGACATCCGCAACATTGCAATCATTGCCCATGTTGACCACGGCAAGACCGGAACTCGGGCGTCGCGGCGTTTCCACAGCAAACGCACATGAGACTTGACAACCATGATTGCCCAATGCTAGCAAGGACCACGCTGACCAATGCTCTCATGAAGCAGATGCTTGAATGCACTGTGGAGTGTTGGAGCGGTGAGAGCTAAACTCAGGCGTGTGAACGCCGTTAAAGAGCACTTGGCATGAGGTGTGGCATGGAGAAGGTCAAGTCCATGGACAGCGATCAGTTGGAGCAGGCCGTCATCAGCTGATCACATGCTCGGTCTGCAGCCAGCGCAGCCTGCTTCGACAGGAGCGAGGGATCACCATTCTGGCGAAGAACGCCGCGGTGAACTACAAAGGCATTAAGGCACATGCATCCTGCAGCAGGGGCTGAGGAGGCGGAGTCTGCTGATCCCAGATCAATATCGTTGACACCCCGGGCCACGCTGACTTCGGTGGTGAAGTTGAGCGCATCCTGAACATGGTCTGGCCCCGACATCGGGCAGCTGCAGTCCACATTCCACATGGTCTTCTTGGCAAAATGAACAGCGCTTCAGGCAGACGGCTGCCTTTTACTTGTCGATGCAGCCGCGCACTGGCAGCACTTACAGCCACACTCGGCACTCCCCTGGCTCTGCAAAAATGCAAGTGTCAGGAAGGCCCCATGCCGCAGACGAAGTTTGTACTGAGGCAGGTTTTCCGCGTGCTTCCGTCTTTGAGGTGGCAGGATAGGGTGGGTTGTGGGTCATGATGGGATCACAGTGCTTCTCGCAGTTGGTGCCGGCAAAGAGCATGCAACTGCTGATGCCCAACGCACCTGGAAATGACAAAGCGCAGCCTCTCTGGGAGAAAAGCAAGCTTTCTCCACAACCAGCAAGTTTTCCCCACAGGCAGGCTCTGAAGTTGGGCAAGAGGATCATTGTCTGCATCAACAAGGCCGCAGCCTTCCGGACTCTAGAAGATCACTGGAATAGGCCCCTGTCCTTAAACAAGAAAGCCTTTCAGAGTGAGGTGGACAAGCCCGCCTCTCGACCAGACTGGGTCCGGCGCCCGGACTTCTCCGCCATGTCACGACCGGCTGATGCAAGATCCTTTGTCGGTCACAAGGTCCTCGACACCACCTTCGACCTGTTCGGCTGCTTGGGTGCTGATGATGAGGCTTGTGACTTCCCCGTGGCCGCAGCCTTGGGAGAGCCAAGGCGCCGCTTTCTCTTTACAGCTGACGTGTCTCTGTCAGTGGCCTCAGGTCTATGCCTCCGGTTTTAGGGGTGTGGCCTCTGTCGCCACGGTCTGAGGTGATTTCACCTCAGCCAAGGCATGATCTGCAACCTGTTACTTTTCTCAGGATGGGCCCGATGATCTCAAGGAGGCCAGGCAGGCTTGATTTGGTGTTGTTTGCTTTTGGGGCGAGGAGCACGGGGATTAGCGTGCAAGTTTCAATGTTCCGGGTTGACCCCTTGCTCAGAATGGGCTTGAACTGAACCGTGGTTCAGGACTTGACGCCTCTGCTGGACACGATTCTCGAGGAGCGCTGAGCGCTCTTTCTCTGGACACGCCACCCTCGACAGCCGACAGCGGCGCAGGAGACTCCGAAGCCGAAGGTTGACAACGACGCTCCTCTTCAGATGCTGGCAGCGACCCCGAAACCTCCGATCCGGCTGTTGCCATGCTAGTGCTGCTAGTGGCTAGTGGAAACAGGTGTCCAACCTGGACTACGACGACTACGTCGGGTCAGATCCTCAGAAGCTGCAGAGCATCTTGCATTGCTGCATCGTCCAGACCAGGCGTATCTGCATTGGTCGCCTGGTTTCCGGCGAGCTGACCGTGGGCCAGGAGGCGAGGCTGAGCTCTCTGCGCCTTCAAGTGCTGACAGAAACTGCTGACAGATTGGCATCATGTACGGCGAAGACGGAGAGCTGCGCAAGGGAAGCGCAGCACCCTCGGCTACAGACTCTGCAGGGCAGGCGGGCTCTGCGAGAGAGCGAGTGCGACGGAAACACAGAGAGAGAGCGAGAGAGCACAGCCAAGTGCGCAGCGGACACTGATGTAAACTGTTTGACACAGCACCACCTAGCAAAGGGAGACTGTACTGGTACACGTTTGCAGATTCTCCTTTGCATGGGGGCTTCAAGTAACCTGGGCTGGCACCAACTCGACATGTTAGCCATGCGGGCGCGGAGATGAGGCCGGGGTTGCGTGATGGTTCTAGTGTTCAGGGTCCGGGGGTGCCAGCCCAGAAACACTGAGCAAACCGTGCCTTCGTTGCCGTAGTCATGTGAGACCCCAAAAGCCGGCCGCTTAGTAAAACCAAAAGCGGTCGGGCGGGCCAAGGGCCTGCGGGTCACGACGTGACACCTAAACCCGACAGAAAGAAGGAAAGATCAAGATACTGCAACTGTGTATACACGGTGCTCGTGATATGCCAAGTTCTTTCGCACCGCAAAGTGCCTCATTACCTTGCGCCCGTGCTCGAACCTGACAGCATGTCGCCGACGCCATGCAGTGGTGCTGCGACTAGCACGGAGATGTGGCGGAATTCCCATGCCCGTTGGCGAATTCTGTTCGTACAAAGGGGGGTGCTCCGACTTGCACGGAGATGTGGGCGCATTCTACGCCCAGACTCCTTGATTTTCCAAGATGGGAATGATGGGAAGACTGTGATGAACTTGGACAGCCTTTTCCGCTGTTAAGTTTGTAGTAACCCTAAACCCTGGGCTTCAGTTCGAAAGGGGTTAGGTTGCAGATCTAGGGCCCAGGAGCTAAACCTTGCCCGAACCTGATGCAATTTGCTCCTGTAGTGATAGTGCTTTCCTTATCTCCTTAAAATTTGTAACTTGAAACTGTCAGTTCTAGACGTGGTGTTTCGACAATGCTGATCAACATGCTGAGCGCGCACACGAACAGAGGGGCCTGCAGAATCCTGACATGATGACGACTTGTAAAGACCAGGATGGAACAAACTTCTATTCTTCATGGTTGTCCTCGTCGTGAAACTTATCCTCGAATGCTGGGGGAACGGAATTTGTTCGTGAGAGTGCAGGTACATCCTGTACTTGTTATTGTAGACTTTACGGCCTTAGCCGAAGCAGGTCCTACACTCGTACTCCCCTTATCCCGATAAAGACTATCGAGTGGGCCTGGAGCCCGGGCGCCTGATCGGTCCCCATGAGAGAGACATCCATCAAGACCTCAGTCCCCTGCACAAAGCCTGTAAAATGTGGGCGGGCCATAGTGCCCGGGGGGCTTAACTCGCCCCTTAAGCCTGGGAGAAGAAGAAGAAGAAGCAGAGAGAGAGAGAGAGAGAGAGAGAGAGAGAGAGAGAGAGAGAGAGGGGGGCAGTGAATGGGCAAACCCTTGTACTGTTCAGCTGAGCCTCGGGGGGGATAAAATTCCACGAGGACCACGGACATCCCGCGAATAGCGGGTGTGTGCATTGCACGGGGAGCGGGGCCTGGATGCTGCCCTAATCCCCAAGCCCGGTAGAGAGAGAGAGAGAGAGAGAGAGAGAGCGACAGACAGAGAGAGCGAGCGGGCAGCCGAATTAGTACGCATGTTTGCTGTACGTTGGCCGACCGAACAAGGGATCTGTTAGCATAATGTGTACGTTGGAAGTGCTGCTTCGCCAGTCAGTCAGTCGAGTAGCAGAGCAGACGGATACGTGCACGACACTACGCGCATCCACACTTTCAACAACTCACCACAGGAGGAGTTTGCACTCGCGCGGTTGGTGGGGAGGGCGGGGTGAGTTTGTCATTTCATGAGCTGATAGATTCGAGACTAGGATTAGGATCCGTGGGGGCGAACGCCTGAGAAGAGATGGTTAGTCTCGGCGCATCGCGAAGCGAAACCCTTGCTTTCCTTTCCGCAGCCAATGGCCAAGGTCACGAAGCTTTGGCACTTTGAGAACAACGATCGAGTCAAGATCGACAAGGACTCTCGGCTCACTTGAGATGCAGACATGCAGACGCGGCCTCGCGGGGCGCGATCAGCGAGGTGAAGGCCGGTGACATTTGTGCCTTCGCTGGCCTCACCGAAGTCCTCCGCTCGGACTGGTGCAGCCATGGCTCAGACGCAGTCACCACGATCTCAGCATGCTTGGCGCACTTGGGGGCGTCTTCACGTATCTGTCGACTCCGAAAGGTGACCATTGGCGACACCGTGGTGGACCTGAACGATGCCAGGGGTCTGCCTCCGATCCAGGTGGAGGCGCGCTGCGATGCTCTGTAGTAGCGAAGAGTTACAATTCTTTCAGACCTTGTGGGGGCGTGTGGCCTTGAGTGCTGGGTGACGGTCTGTATTGGTTGGTCGAGGGTCTGAAGTCTTGGGTCTTGGGCTTGAGATGTGTTACAGACCTTCGACTGAAGATGCCCCAAGAGGGATGGGAGCCTCCATGGGCGAGAGAGCTAAGCCGTGCTGCGAACTTTGCACGTTCAGGAGCCGACGGTTGCCATGGAATTCTCGGTTAACAAGTCGCCATTCGCGGCACAGCTGAAGGCGCGTTGTGGCTCAGGCTTTCGTGCGTGTCGCGTAGGCTCTCCGGATGTTTTGGAGCTTTTCGCACCGTCTTGAGTTCTTCCTGCGGTTCCATTTGGACTATCCTTTTGGACGATTGGGTCGATTAGAGGGACGGGTTTAGAAGTGTATCGGAGGTTCGGGCCTGATGAGCTTCGTGCTTAGAGAAGTTCTATCGAAGCCATGCAAGACGATGTGCGTGTTACGCGTTGTCACCTGTAGTAGGTCACGTGTCCGGCGCTGTCAGGAGTCCACGAAGGTCACTGCTGTCCAGATCAAGGCCTGGTTAGGAACCTGACGGTGACTTCCACCTGAGAAAGTCGGCTTGTGCTTCTGCTTCCAGGCCCGTTTGGAGAAGGAGTGCCTGACCAACTTGGCTCTGCGTTTTGAGCCTGGCAGCACGCCAGGGCCTGGGGCTGCCAAGATTTGAGGCTTCGGAGGGCGTCTTCGCTTCAGACGCAGGTCTGAGAGCTTCAAAGTGAAGGGCCGAGGGACGCTCCAGCCCGGGCCTCAGGGCGAGCAGCGTTGACTTGTCAGCAAGGAACCCCTTTGCAATCTCGATAGGCTGGGCATCCTCATGGAGAACATGCGCCGCGAGGCTACATGCACGTCGGATGCAAGCTGCGTCTGCACCAGAAAGCATGTCGATCGCATATGGCACCGAATGTTGTTGAGATCCATTGCTCTACCGATGATCCTTGGTTAGTTCCGACCTTGGACGGCCCAACCCCTGTGTCAGGGCTTCGAGTTCATGGTCAGTGCGCCGGAGGTGCTGTTGCGTGCGCTCCTGACCCGAGCAGAGAGGCAGAGAGACTTGAAGCAGCTTAAGTTGATGACTCCGGCTACAAGCACCACTGCCAAAGCCTCTCTTCCACAGTGCTTGAAATCCAGTGGTGAGTTTCCTCTGCTGCTGCTGCTGCTGCTGATCCCCGCACTCACGCTCGCCGCGTTGCTGTTCCTCTCCGTTGCCGTTTTTGCTGCTCTTCCTCTTCCCCTGCCGCCCGTGCAACGAGGCGAGGATCCTGAGACCGGCAAGAACTTGGAGCCGTACGAGGCCGCAGCTCGCAGCACGTCTGCGGAACTGTAACAAAGGGATTAGTCATAGCGACACAGCCGGCATCAGCAGGATGTGGCAGTGGACGTGCCCACGGAGTACCAGGGAGTCATCATGGAGGAGATACGGTTTGCTCCCTCACTCCTCATGTTGCGTTGCCTTGTGCGTCTTGTCGTACTCGCTCCGGTTAGGAGATGCAGAAGAAAGGCGGCGTCATGAAGGGCATGGAGGCGCCACTTTTCCAGCATCTGCTAGGTAGAGTCAACGAAGACCACCTGATGCAGCCAAGAATGTCGTTTGCGTGTCGCAGACTGGAGCCGTGGAGAACTCCTTGATCTTGAGCTTTGAGATCCCAACGTCACGGGCCCAAGTCTACGCGAGCCACGGGGCACGGAGGGTCATGGAAGGGGAGAGCCGTTTTTTTTGTTGAGGCGTTGCACCATCGGCATGCCCGGCAAATTCATGCAGAGGAGCTCAAACTCTCCAATACTGGAGGAACAAGATGATGGAGTGTAGATGTACGTAATTATGCAGGTAATGGTTCATCTTTGTGGCAGGCTGACAATGGTCCTGGTGATATTGCAGGCGAAAGCTACTGTCTAGAGGGTTGTGATGATGATCGTGGCTTCTGCTGTGGTTGTGGTGGTTGTTGTTGGTCGCCCCATATTCGAATCCTCGTCATTGTCGTCTTTTCGGTTCGTGTCCTTGGTGATGAGCAAGTTGATGCAAGTGGGCAGTGGTCCTGATTCTGAATCATTGCTTCCTCCAGCGAAGGACGGAACAAAGGACGCTCACTCAACACACTAGTCAGGGAGTGAGATGTGTGACGGATGAACAACTTTGCAGGACCTCTGGTACCGCGGTCATGACCTCCCAGTTCTCACACTGGGGCGAGTCTCTCGTCTGGAAGTGTTCATGTCCTTGGCCTTCAACCCCCCAGAACTGGTGATTGCGACTGCAGCAGTGCGAGACAGTAAAGGATGACAGCACGCTCACAGGTTCGACGGCACGACCATCAAGTTGCGGGACCGCCTTGAACGAGAAGTTTGCACTCTGACATCCCTGTACTTCATGAGCTGACCTGCTCTTCAGTCTCAGGTTCAGGCAAGAGGGAGAGTTGACTCTTTGTTCGTCAGGACAAGGGATCCATCACCACAGGTGCTACCGGGAAGGCGTGGGCACGTCAATTCTTCGCGCCATGTCTACCAGTCGTTAGTTTAACAAGACGAAGCGACTGCTTATGCTTATCATTGCAAAGGAACCCGGGCAGTGGAGATGGAAGAAGGTAGCACCCCGATGAAGCATCTGTCTTTTGCAGGCAACCTTCTACAGCATCCTGAACTTCCAGCAGCGGGGCAAGTTCTTCGTGGAGGTGTGGCAAGGATAGGTTCAGTATGGTTCAGTTCTCCAATGGGTGCAGAGGATCGTCGTTCTTAAAAAACTCGCGATGATTCGATGGGCCTTGTTGCAGGACGAATGTACGAGACCATGCTGTGTGCCTGACAATCCAAACGGTTACTTCAGTGATGGCCACCTCCGATGAACAATGCAATTGCCTCCGCTAACCATGCACTGGAAACTTATGAATGGCGAATCAAGGGTGCTATGAAAGCATTAGCAGCTAGAGCCGAGTGTGGAACTCGTGGCAGGCAGGAGATCTCGAGGTTCCTGGTTAGTAGTCTGATGTCATGATATTGCTGCATTAGCGATCCGTCTCGAGACCCGGTGAACGGATCCGGGACTTCTGATAGTCAATAGAAGTTGTCCGTTGGCTTCGAAAGCTCCGCCTCCTCCTTCTCTGCTTGGTTTTCAATTCTCCCCTGTCACGCAGCCGGCGGAAGAAGTCTACGCAGGGCAGGTCATCGGCCTTCACAATAAGGTGGGTTCCGCGTTTGCAGTTCGCTTCAGGATTGTCGCTTTTCCATTGGTTGGACTTTTGGGGCGGGTTTGGCGATTCCGATAGCCGGATGCCAAGCTTCAGGAGCTTGTTCCTAGTGTGGAGCAGTATCGGAAGAGTGTGCATCGTCACGTGACCACTCTCATGTGCCTCTTGAGGCACTTAGTGAAACGTTCTTTTTTTGTCGATTGGTTTTCAGGACACTGACCTTGCCGTCAACATCACGAAGGCTGACACGCAGGGTACTGCAGGTTATGGATCCGGTAAAGGCATCCATGTCGTGGGGATGTCTGCAAGATAGGAATCCCCAGAACTGAAAGCAGCTTTTCGGATGCACCTTTAAGGTTTCGGATGCACCTTTGAGAGCTTCGCGTCTTGGGCCAGGAGAAGGCAGTCTCCAACGTCCGCGCAGCCTCGAGCCTTGTGCCGAGTTCACCTGCACTGCCGTGGGGCTCCGTGTTGGCTGTCCTAAGTCCTGAGCTCCACCCGAGGTTCGTTCACGGTCGCGCTTCCTCCCAAGATCCAGGCGGGTTTTAGAGTTGAGGAGGTGAAGGTCCTAGAACGAGGAAGTGTGCATCTTATCACAGATGAGCATCGACGACTGGCTGGGACACATGGACACCGATGAGGTTCTCGAGGCTGGTGCTTGCGAGAGGCATCAGCAGACGGGAGAATCTCGGCTCTTGAAAAGGTCACACCGGGTCCACTCCGACTCGCTAAGAAGAAGGAAATCAAGGCAGATCTGACCTGTCTGTGTGTGTGAGAGTGCGTGCGCAGCCTGAGCCCTGACCCTGCAGGGGCTGAAGTGATTCTGATTTGTCCACACAGGCCAGCCAGCAAGCAGGGTCGATTTCACTGGCCGGGACAGTGGAACTTGCTCAGAGTGCTTACATCGTCATGTCTTGCTTGAGGAGGTGCACAATGGCCGGTACGCGGCTGAGCCGCGGAGCACTTTGAGCCTAGCACGTAATAATCTTTGAATGCAGAAGTGCAGAAGTGCATTTCTTTCAGCGGGTCTCGTGTGGGAGCAAGTTCCTGTTGGAGTGCAGAAACCGATGCTTGCCTGTTTGCTTGCTCATGGGACCCTGGCACGTTGGCAGCGCCAGCCTCCTGTGAATGAGGAACCCATAGAAGTATCCTTCCAACACTTTCCAAGAGACTGGCCTGCACCGGCTAGATAGCTACAAGTTTTCGCAGATGTATTTTCGCCACATTTTTCTGCTGATGTGGCCATCTCCCAAAACAGCGACCCCGGGCACCGGAAAAGGATGCCGTGAACTTGCAGAATGCGGCAGTTTAGCAGAAGCAACGTAAGCAACAGGCCCACATGAACAGTGCATCTCGACCCCAAGAGCAAATGTGGAACGCAGGAGGGGTGCATGGTTCCAGCAGCGAAGCAGCGAATCGTGCAGGATCTCTTAGAGCCTGAGGCTTCTTAGATGCCCATCCCAAGTCCCAAGTGCAAGCACGTCTTTTTCATTGGGGAATGTGGCAGGGGCGACTGGGCCAAAGCTCGGGCTTCAAGGGTTCAAGCCCGGGGCTTGCTGGGAGCCGTTGTGGTCTTTGAGCGAGGTTAGAGTTTTGTTGTATGTTTCGCGATGGCATTTACGGCTTAAGGGCTCTTGATGCAGGCTCCCCATTCCCCCACCGCACCATGCTTGATTCATGGTGTGGTCTTGGGCGCTTGAGCTTATTATTTCTCCTTCTAGACGTGGTAGCATCGGAGGAGTCCTTTACGATTCGAAGCGTCGTTGCTCCCAACAAGTGTGTTAGTGTTGTTGGGGACTATTTTGTCGAGCTGGCTGACTGCGACGGAAGATGGCGCCAGAGACAAGTTTGGTATTTCAATCATACATGGCTGGTCAACCGATTTTACAAACTTGACGGTCAGGCCCTGTGCCTCGTGTTTGCTGCGGCATACTACGAGACTCACCATGGAAGACCTCTGAGGGTAGGCAGCTGTGAAGAAGGCAGGAAGAGCATGGACTGGGTTTGGGAGGCAAGTGGCCACATCAGGCATGTGCATTCCGCCAGCGTCTTCGATCTTCCTGGTATCAACATCTCCGACTTTGCCGGCTCTAATGTCTGGAGCAGGAGCGGAGACCCCCAAGTTCAGCTCGGCACCCTGGACTTGACGCAGAGGGACCAACTCTTCTTCGCGCAACCGGCAGGTGGGGCCAGAGTTGGATTGTGCAAGGCTCTATAGATCGTCTGATCGGGGTTTATCTCTAAAACTCCACCGAGTCACAGAGTCCTGCGGCCTGCCAGAACCGATGAAGAGCCACGTTTTTGTGTTTGGATCCGCCAGAGAAGTCTAGGAGGCTACATGTAGCAGAGAGTTGCTTCTCTGTTTAGTGCACTGTTGCATATGTCAGGTTCGGGCTTGGGGCCTCCGCAGGGCTTCGAGCCGGTCGGCTATCGTCTGAGCCAAGACTTCTACGAGGATTATGTGCTGATTCCTCAGACCTCCTGTCCGGACGGGTCGCCCGGAGAGCGCACGCTCTGCCCCTGGAGCCACCGTCGTGCCGTGGTGTGCAAACAGACTTTGGGTCAGTAGGAGGCAACGAACCGAGCACCGGTTTGCCTTAGAGAACCACCTGCTCTAGCTGTTGCTGCCACTGCCTGCATTGACCACACTTCCAGTTGCTTTCGGTTCAGGAGCGCAAGGGAGTGCAGCTAAGGCGGTCCAGATCATCTTTGCGAAGGCGGCCCCATTCGAGACCGATGTGTCTGTTTTTCTGGATACTTTGCTCACGTCCTCCAGCATACTTATACCCACGACACCGGGTTTTGGATTTACACATGTTGTAGAGGGGACCACCCATCCGATGTGTGTGGGGACTGGCTATTTCTGGGTCCCCTTGCCAGTGGCGTGCTCGTTCTCGGAGCGTCTGGTGCACTGATCGCCACCCTGATGATCCACTGCCACCGTCCCACCATTGCGCCTGCCACGGAGGAGGACCTTCAACTTCTGGCGCCACCACAGTGCATTCATGACGGTGCAGAGCTCCACAGACGTGTGGCGCAGGCAAGCTGGGGCGTAAGCTTGGATGACCTGCTCCAGTTCAAACGGTTGGTGCATCATTGCATCCAAGACGGACGTCTTCGACCAACCGAGCTTGACAAGTTTTCGACATCAGAAGCTTGTCTCAACGATCGGAGAAGCCCATTGTCGGGTGTTTTGTCATGTTGAGTGACACTTGGAGTCGGTTAATGGTTAACTTGAACGCAGGACATACACACTGGGCCAACGGCATATACAGTGAATGAGCAGTTCATCAAGCCGGTCACCTCAGCTGTGGGAAATGTCAGTTGGGCCTTGCTGAAGCATCCCACAGGCTTGAATTGCGACGTCTTCATCACTCACGCATGGGCTGAGGGCCTTTTCGATTTTGTGGACAAAGTTTCTCACTCATGGCCACCCGGAGCCGTGGGTGCCTACATCTGTTTCCTGTCCAACCCCCAGAATTTGGACATCGGAGACTTGATACAGGTCCCCAGCCAGTCGCCCTTCGCGAATGCTTTGCGCCAATCATCGTCTTTGCTTGTGGTCCCAAATCATTCCTACAGCGTTTATACCCGACTCTTGGCTGTTCTGACTGCTTGGCTCTTCGGACTTTAGCTTCTTGGGCCTGTCTACTGTCCATTAAGTAGACTAATGCTTGGAGCTCAGCCCGGCCAGGAATTTGGTGCGTCTACGAGGCCTTCCTGGGCTATTCCTGGGACAAACCTATTCGAGTTGCCAGGCGACCTCCAGAGAGCTACGGCTTCAAGGTGCTCCGGGTCCCCTGCACGAGTCTCGCTGTCTGGGGCGGAACGATCCTGATCCTCATGTCCCAAACGAGCTTCTACGGCTTCAGCAAAGATTCTCAGGCTTTGCTATCCACGTTGGAGTTGGCATCCTTGGGAGGGGCAGGAGCATGTGCCTGCTTTGTTCTCCTTTTGTATCTCCTGCGAAAGCTTCAATCCATCGCAAGTCTGATTTCGCTTCATTTCCTCAGCATCTTCTTGGCGACTTGCCGAGGATTAAGCCCGGGTAGTTCTGGGGAAGGGAGCAACGAAGGCTTGGGCTCCAGGTGCTACTAGTAGTAGCCTTTATGTCTGGGTGGAAGTTGCGCAGTCGGCGCCCTGCTGGTCGGATCGTTTGAAGCGGCGTTGACAGAGACCTTCGTTTCCCTACAGGATGGTACCCCTAACCTTGACAGTTGTTCTGCCTTTCAATCGAGTGTTCTGCGAGTACGGCTGTCCATCTATATGCAATCATATGACGGCTCAGGATTCTAAGACACGTGCTTGCGATAGATCGCGCTGAGGCGATTGCGGTGGCGTTCAACATGTGCCTAAATGGGTTCACCGATGTGCCGGCGCTCTTTGCGGCCTTGGTTTCAGGCACAGTAAGCCCATTAACGCCAGTCGCAAAGCCAGCCCCAGCTACAGAAGCTACTCATGGTTTTTGAGCAGCTGTCTGTGTGGACCGACAGCGGAACATCAGCACGTTGGGGCAGCCGGGCAGTCAGCTGTAGTTTGTGGCCATAGCGAGCATATTGCAGTATATCCAGCTCCACCACTTCCATTCTTTTTTCACCTTCCGAGATAGACCCCATCAATCACACACAGACAGTACGCAGCTACTATCGGAAAGGTGCCCTGCAACCTCTGCACAGGCCTTGGAGTGGCAGGGCTGGAGGCTGACCGGTTGCGCTCTGTAGTTGCGATGCGACATCGGTCCAAGATCAGCAAAGTTCTTACTTTCTGTGCACGTTTCATCTTAAAGTATGCATCGGTGCTCTTGCAGTTGTTCGTCTTGTCATGATCAAGCACTACTCAGGCTGTAACTAGGATGTAGTCTGACATGATGTCATGTGCCTTCAATGCCTCGAAAGTGCCCGAGGACAGTCAGAACAGCTTGCGCGGGGCTTCGCCGGGTCGGTGAGAGACTTGTCAGGAAGAGCAGCACAGTCACACCAGACAGTTGTCAAGTCTGTGATGCTCCGACGAAAGGTGATCTTGCCCTTGCCCGTCGAACATCCCTCCTGCGGTGCTGAGGACGAGCTCGCAGCTCTGACGCCAATGACCTGCACATGATCATGGGGGAGATCGAGGAGCACGGACAGGCAGATGACATCGACGACATGGTCGGTGCCCTTATGACGAGCAACGTATCCACAAGGGACATGCGCTTGGCGATAAAGCTGGCCGGCCGTTTGGGCGACTCATCGAACTGGAGCAGGGCGGTTTTCCTGATGAGCGCCAGCTTTTTCGTCTTCCAATGCCGACAGGCACGAGCGGAGCATCTCTAAACGCATAGTGTGTTTGTGTTATTCTGCTGTACATGCGACAAATCTGCACTTACATGTCCGTTTTCCTAATGGTTTCCTTTCTGAAGACTTTTGACGCTGCATGTTTTGGCCTTTGGACACTCCTTGTTTTTCTTGCTTGCTTTTTTCATGGTTTTCTTCTTTTTTCTTTTCTGTCGTTTTTCTTCAGTTTGCAGGGGGCTGGAGTGCATCGCAGAAGTCTCCAGCCAACGAAGACGCTTCTGTGAATGCAGTGAAAACGTACCTGCAGTGGTGCACCTGGGGAGAAGTACTCCAGCTGGTGGCCACAACATGTGTTTTCAAAACATGCTGGTTTCAAGCAGTTTTACTCTCCCTGAAAACTATGACATGTTTCTTGCGTATTTCGAACAAGGCAGGTATGCAGGTTTGACCATGCTTTCGCCTGTTTTGAAGCTTTGTACGGTTGCTGCAATCTGTTTGAGCATGTCCATGAAAGTTTCTGCAGAACGCCTCCTCAGTTGTGTTCGGCAAGAGCTCCCTCATGAGGGCCTTGTCGCTATTCGGCGAAGTTGCCGGCCCACCGGGGTTCTTGTTTTAGCAGCTGTGGAGATCATTTCCGTTTCACAACATGTTCAAGTGGAGATCACTGAGTGGAAATCACACTTCCGGAAAGCAGAGTGGAGTGGCGTCCGGAGACCACTGACAATTGCATATGTTGTCATGTTTAGGCATTTTCTGGCTTGAGACTCGCATTCAAGTGTTGCTCCTGCACCCTGCCATGGATCGTGAGCGCTCCCCACGCCGTAACCCCTACTGGAGCTCCTCCTTGCCTGCTCCGGTCCCACCTGCCCCTGTGAGTTGGCAAAATCCCACACCCCGTCCGGCCCCACCAGTGACTCGACCGACAGTGCTTCAGCCACAAAACCTTACGTGGCAACCTAACCCACGGATCGCTCAGATTATGAACATTTCGCCGACCCCCCGCATCCCCGGTCTTCCTTCCCCACCTGCTGCAAACTCCCCTCGAGTTTTCGGCCCGATGCTACCTGCTGAGTTCTGCCAGAATCCGAACTATTTGGACTCCCGCTGTATTGCAGGCTTGAACTTGGCTCGTTGGGTCAAGAAGACTGATTGGACAGTTCGAAAGCAGATTGACGGATGTCCAACCCACATGATACCGCTTCATTCGTTGCTCTATCAAGGCTGGAATTCGTATTGGGTACGTCATATTGCAGAAGGCAAGCCGGCTTTCTTCGCAGGTTTCAAGTCGATCGGTGAAGTTGTATTTTGTCACGCACTGTTTGGAAAGTTGCGAGATGAAGAAGTCGACTTGGATGAGCTTGCTTCTATTGTGCTTGGTACCAATGATCCCGCTTCCAAGAGCAGTGGCTCGGATTCCAAGTCGCAGGCCACACAGTTGTTGGCGCAGAAGGTTGTAGACTACATGTTAGGTCTGTATCCTCAGGCCTCGGTTGACACGGAGAAGGCAGCCATGGCGAATCAGATTCAGATTCTTCAACAACAACTTGCGAATTTCGAGAATGCCTCCCCTTCCCGCTCTTCTAACCAAGGCGTTGCAGATCAGAAAACTTTGCCGATTGAAGAAAGCCCCCCGGGACGTGTACCAGAGTCCGCACCCTCAGCTCAACAAGTTCCTGATGGTGCAACCCGTCTTCTTCGTGGTCAGACTGGTGAGCCCAAAAGTAATCTCATGCAGGCATTCCAGAAAGGAAAACCATCGGGGAGCCAGGCAGAACCGTTGAGCATTGAGAATGATGAAGTTGAGACCCAAGGTCGTAGCCCAGGAAATTCGAGCTCTGCTCCTCAGCCCGAGTATGGGACATCCTCGCATGTTGGACAAGTTGTGAAGATTGTTCTCACGGATCCATCCAAACGTCACTTCTTGAGTCGCAGCTGGAAAGCTTGCAAGTCGGACAAGGAAGTGTCGACATGGATTGAAGGCTTGAATTTGAGCAAAAACAATCGTCAGAAGCTTCAGACATGGACGGCTCATGTGCAACGATGGCATGCGGACCTCCTTCCAATGAGCAAGCCGAATTGGATCAGGTTGTTGCCAACTGGGGTGTGCCTATCCGTGATATTCCCAAGCTTAAGGCGAATTCCTTGCTACGTATTCTTGCTGCCGGAACAATTCTTGTGGCTTGACTACAGGCCACATTGGATGCCAGAGACCTATATCGCAGTGGAAATCCACCACAAGGTTGGTGGAAAAAGCACCGAAGTGAAGTGGATTTGCTTCGGAATGCTCATCTATTTTTCCAAGGTCTCTACGAGACACCCACCATGTTCGGACGACAATGGATTGACATTATTATTTGGATTCGTGGAAAACTCCTTTTGCTTGCTTGTGAGTTCGGGCTTGTACAGTTGCCATTGACCTCTCAGCTTCGTTTAAAATGTTCCAGCTACACCTGGAAATTCTGTCAGACGCAGTCGGTGATTTATTGCCGCATCTTTCTCCAGCCTGAGTTACAGAAATTCATGTATGTCGGATCATCATCCCAAACATTGGGCGACCGTGAGCGTACAAGATGGGGGGAATACCAACAGATCCGAGCGGGCAAGTCTGTATGTGGTGAACTCTCATTGTTCTGGCATTACCGACGGCGGAATTATCACATGGCCATTCCTTTGTTAATCATGCATGTCCCACAGGCTGACTGTCTGCATACAATTGAGCAGACGTTCATCAACTTGCTCCAGCCACGCCTTAATGCTCCCTGGGTTCGTTCCCTTGTAAGGGCAAAACATGCACAGATTGCCAACTCCGATCCTGTCAGATGTGTTCGCAGATTTGTGACTTCGTGGAGAACTTTCCGACGTTTCCGACGTCGGAACGTCCAGCTTACTGGACTGACTCCATCGGTCTTTCGCTCAACACACATCGTTCAGAACATCGTATACAGCTATCAGATTCTGTTCGACCTAGCTTCTGACGGGTTGAAGTCCTTTCTTGCTCAAAAGTATTTGCGCAGCAACAGAGTTGACTCTGATTTTCTTTACAGACTATTTCGGATGGCCACTCATCTCGGTGACCCTTTCTATGAGACGATTTGCAGGTCCAGATTGAACACGGTGCTGCAATTTCGGCAGTTGAGGTGTCCAACCACTTGCCGGCCCTTATCCACTCCGTTCTTGTTACCGGAAGCAGGCTTCAAACGCTTGGTTCGTGGCATGTCGGGAGATATTCTGGATGTTTCGTCAGATCGACTGCTACCGTATCACATTCCAGCGACCTCGCTTGTTGCAAAAAGCCACCCCAAAATCAGAGAGGTTTTGTTCTCGCACAAGCGAATCTTGCAGTTGTGGGACCCGCATGAGGAACCACAGAGGGCCGGTGTCACATGTTGTTGCTCTGAGCTTCTTCGACATCATCCACACCTGACTGTGGTTCAGGGTCACATTGCATCTTCTGCCACTTTGTTGTCTTTGCCGCATGACTTGACTCAGCTGGCTCAGTCCAGTTGCTCAAATCCGGTATTCATGAGCGCCACAGATCATTGGAAGATGTTTCTTGATGACGTGAGACAGTGGATCGATCATCACGGCTTGGTGCATTATCCGACTATTGATATCCGATGTGTGTGGCAGAAGGCATGGAAGCTACATTCACAGCATGTTGGAACACATTGGTCGGTTGATCAGGTTCGTGAGTTGAAAAAACGGACCAAAGGATTGGTGTGGCATGTCCGGGACCATGAAGGCTCTCATTCACATGCCTTCTGCCCGGTGAAGTATTGGATGATGCTTCAGAACACTTTTACTGCTGAATCCGTCTTCAAGCCACTGTCGCTAAACCCCTCAACGATTATGGTTCAGATGGAGCATGCAGTCCCACCTCGGATTCTTGAAGCATTCCCTTTTCGCTTTGGATCCCGCGGTGCCCGTGTGTCATGGGCTTATATTCTCCCCAAGTTCAAGAAAGAATGGAAAGGAGGCAGGCCAATCGTTAGTTTTGCCTCTCACCCGGCTCGCCAGTTCTTGGTTGTGATGGCGAAAGTCACAGAAATGCTTGTTGCTGAGGTGTGTCCTCACACCCGATCCTACAACGATGCAATCTTGCTTTGGCAGAACATACATGCTTTCTTTGAGAAGCGATGTCACAGTCCGGAGCAAGACAGACAGAAAATTGCCATGCACAATCAAGACTTGTCAGGTTTCTTCGTGAGCATTCCGAGGGAGCGGTTCATGATCACCTTTCGCATATTACTCTGTCGTTTTTACGACGTCTCGGATGCTGATCTTGATCATGCCTTGAAAGGCGTTGTGGTGACTGTGGACTTGGAAAACAACTTGTCGGTTATGAAAACTATTCGCGGTCGACATTGTCTGTTGCATGACAAACGAGTTGCCGTTCCCATGGACCTATTCCTGGAGGCCGTACAGGTGTCGTTTAAGTTCAATCTTTTTATGGTTGGTCAGCAGGCTATTCAACAAATTAGGGGTGCACCGATGGGAAGCCATTTCTCTCCGGCACCTGTGCTCCTGACGATGTCCACGGAAGACAGTCTCAATTTGTTTCCAAAGTCCTCGGGCCCTCCCGGCCCTGTCAGTGGCTCTGTGGAAATGTATATTCGAAGGAGGGTCGCTCAAGAGGTGAACCGAGCCCTTGCACCGCCCGACACACTTCCAGAATGGGCACGGCCTACCGGAAGCGCTTCTGGAGGCCGCCGAGCTCTTCCTGCTCCTCCTGCCCCTCCTTCTTCTTCATCGACGCCTTCGCTCCCTCAAGCACATGTGGATGCCGCGATCCCCCGTGCTCCTCCTCCTTCGCCCTTTTTGACCCTCACTGAGGGTAGCGGATCTTCGGCTCAGTCCATTCAGATTCACGATGAAGGTATGGCAAATAGGGTTATTGAAAGCCTGACTTCTGTTCGGTTGTTTGGCAATCGGGGCAATCGGGACGATCGTTCAAGGAGCCCGGTATTGAAGCCGTGCCCGCCTCTTCCAAGAAAGCGTCGCAAGCTTGCTGGTGATGAACGTATGCCTATCGAGGATAA